AAATATAACAAAACGAGCTGGGTAAATTACAACCAATGTGAAAAGCAAATTTCAATTTGGCCGGATTTATTAAATGCTTAAAAAATGCAAGTAAAATTATTTACAGCTAAATTAAAACTTTTTTAGATGTGGCAACGCAGCCGACAAAACATAAGCAGAAAAATAATAGGCCAATTTTTTTGAAACGGAACAATTACCGTTTGGAAAAACTGGTCTGGCACAGACCAGTTTTTCCAAACGGTAATGAACCAAGATACTTCTTTATGAACCAAGATACCATCAGTTCAATGAGTTCAATAAGTCCGGTGGACAAATTTGTTTGCAAGAAAAAATCTAGTAACCAATTGCAATACGCTTGCTATCGTGAGGGTATAAATTATGCATTTCCAAAACTTGAGAGATATATTGCGTTCGAAAATTTCTGAAATCGAGTTATAATGATTTTTATGTTGTTCAAAAGAAAACGTTTTTTTTTCTATTAATTTGATGAATTAAAAATGCATCAACTGTATTAATTTAAGACTATTGGACTTATTACACGCGATACACTTGCAACTACAATAAAAGTTAATTGCAGCACAAGCAAAATCCTAGATGTGTAAACTTAGCCGACAAAACTTGATAAACGAAAACCCGACAAATTGAAATGAAACAAGAACAGGGTGCGGCCGGGACTCATGCCCATGAACATAGGGTGCAAAGGCGACGGCGTTACCTCTAGGCCAGTCACTGGAAGTTTTTAAGCTTCGATAATCAAGTAAGAAAAACAAGCAAGATTTGTTAGAAAACTTGTTTACGGGGAAAGTCTAGCTGCCGATTACAAAAGAAATCAACAGTGAAACGGCAAAAAACATAAATTTGAGCCTGCGCAACTGTTAAGACTATTCCTGAAACAAAATCTTCGCGACCTATATAAAAGTCTGAAGATTTTGTTTCAGGAATAGTAATATTGAACATAGGGTGCAAAAGCGATAAGTTATTATGACTCTTAATAGGTTATAATAACTTATCATTACGTGAAAACGATATTTAGGGGCACTTCCAATCAAATATGAGAGAGCTGAGTTGAGCTTGCTTGAAAAATAACCATTTCAATAGCCAAATTGTCAAAACATAAATTGAACGTCGAAAAACTCTTAAAACATTCACTTTTAAAACATCAGATCTAACCAAGTTAGCCTTCATGTGATTTTTTCAAGTCTTAATTTTGACCCAAGAATTGCTGAGTCCCTCGACTCACGAAATATTATACAAATAAGAATTAGTTTTCGACTGAGCGAGACTTTTAATCATTTTATGCACCATTGTTTGCTATTAATACAAAATCTCTCAGCTGATCCAAGTATGACTTTTTTCAATTTTCAACAAGTAGTGAAGCATGTTTGTTTTTCAGCTGCGACGGAAAATGGCGACAACAAATCACTCGAGATGAAGGTCCCAAGTAGAAATCAATTTAAACTTGGCCTTTAAAGTCCAATTCTCAGAGATTGAACAGTCTTCAAGAGAAGAAGGACCGTTAAGCTTTCCTCTTGAAAACGCAAAATGCATCAAACACTCGAAAGGATAACATAAATAATGGAACAAGAAACAGATAAAACAAAATTGATAAAATGAACAACCGTAGCTTAGATTAAAAAATGCCAATCAGCTATGTAACCAAACTAGTTCTGCTGAAAACGTGACCTGATGATAAAATATAACCTCCATAGCTAATTTCAAATTACTAAGAAGCGGAAAATGATTCAAGCCAGATAAAACCACCAGGGTCTATAAACGACTAAACTGAAAATGTCCTAAGAATCTACCCGAGTAGATCTTTACGTTGAATTGTAAATAAGTTTCTCGTGTATCTGTGGAGATTGAAAAGAAAATGCAGTATTATAGTTATTATTAGAAACTTGATGCCCTGCTTTAGAAGCTATCTGCGCATATCTTAAATAATCTTATGTATTCAGTGACTGATGAAACATTTTTTTAATTCACGTATTTTATAATAATGTACACTTGTTCCATTCTTTTTACACAGGCAATGTACTAAACGTAAAAAAAATCCGAAGTCGAACCGCGAAACTCAGATCTGAGCATGAACAAATTTAATGATTTTTTCCTTTTAAAAAAAAGATAAAATCATCACGTTTACATAAGAGTCTTCACTATGCTCAATGACTCTTTAAAAATTCAAACCACCAAGGCATATCTTAAAGGCCATTAAATTTTAGCTCTTTGTTCCAAAAAAACCAACAAAACGACCAAAATAAGTTAAAAAAACTAGAATCCGCAAACACCAGCACCAAAAAGTCAGTTTAAATGCAACAAGGAAAGCCGTCTCCAAATGACTAATCAGCTCGCGAAAAGCTAGTTGTTGCTCAGTTCAAGCTATTCAATCAATGAAACTTCAAAACAGTTCAAGTTATTTCGTGAATCGAATCGGAGGGCGCAGAGATGAAAATTTTCTAAGCAAGCTACTCCACATATGGAACTTTGGGATATTCCTAATTAATTCATATAGCGAATAAGATGACAATAAGTTAATTTTTTTCTATTAAAGCCATTCAATCAATTAAGCTTTAAATACTTCACTTCATGGACCAAATCTGAATATGATAAGTTCAAGATTTTCTAAGCAAGCTACTCCAGCTAAGAAATTTAAAGTCTTTATATTTCGTCTTTCTTTTCTATCAAATTCTTTGAATTTCATGAAAAGCTTCAAAATTTCTAAGCAAGTTGTTCAAGTGATGAAAATTTAAAATATTTCAAGTTATTTCGTAGACCGAATCAGTTTGCGATAAATTCAAGAGTTTCTTAGCAAGCTATTCTAGCTATGAACTATTTAAATAATTCAAAGTCATATTAAAGAGCGAACCAGTTTCTGTTACTCTTTGAAGCAAGCTTTTCATTGGATGAAACTTTTATACGAGTATTTCATAAAAAAATCGAAGTTTTTCTAAATCAGCTATTAGTTTTGAAACTTTGAAATATTCCATGCTGTTTCATGTAGCGAAAAGGATGGCAAAAAATTTAGTTATTTCTATTGAAACCATTCAAGTGATGATACTTTGAAATATATCAAGTTATTCCATAGAGCTAATCGGATGGCATTAGCTCTATGGAATCAAGTTTCTCTTAGCAAGTTATTTGTTATGAAACTTTGAAATATTCCAAGTTAATACATGTAGCGAATCGGATGGCAAAAAGTTTAATTACTTCTATTGCAGCCATTCGAGAATGAAACTTCAAATATTTCACTTCATAGACCAAATCTGAAGATAATAAGTTCAAGATTTTCTAAGCAAGCTACTCCAGCTAAGAAACTTAAAATCAGGCAATATTTCGTCTTTCTTTTCTATCAAGTTCTTTGAATTTCATGAAAATCTTCAAAATTTCTAAGCAAGTTGTTCAAAAGATGAAAATTAAAAATATTTCAAATTATTTTGTAGACCGAATTGATTCGCGAAAAAACTAAGTTTTTCAAAGCAAGCTTTTAGAGCTAAGAAATATACCAAATTATTTAATGAAGCCAATCGCTTTGCATAAAACTTCTCAAGCTTTTCAATATATGAAAACTTTTCGTAGGCTTTTCAAGATATGAAAAATTTCAAATTATTTCATAGACTGAATCAGTTCAAGAAAAGTTGACTTTTTCAAGCAAGATTTCCAGCTATGAACCTTGAAAATATTTCAAGATATTTCATAGACCGAGTTGGCTCGCAAAACTTTCAAAGCAAACTATTCAAGCTACAAAACAAAACTTGGACATACTCAAGTCATTTTGTAGACCGAAGCTATTCGCTTGAAATTTCTCGAAAAGGTCGAATCGGTTTGTGAAGTTTTGCTAGTTAGTCCAGCTGTGAAACTTTGAAATATTTGAAGTTACTTCATAGATCGATTGACCAAATCAGTTTTCAAGGATTTTTTCAAACTATTTCATAGACCAAATCGTTTTGCAAAAAAGCTAATGTTTTCTTAGTAAGCCATTAAGACCCTGATAACTTGAAACATTTCAAGTTATTTCAAAGGGCAAATCGGTGTGCAAAAAATTGCTTAGAACAGGTTAGCAAAAAATGTGCTAAAAAAACCCAAGCTTTACGCAAAACGATTCGGACTATGAAATAGCTTAAAATATTTCAAGGTTTTTCCGAGCACGCTATTCATGCGATGAAACTCTGAAATATGTCAAGTTATTTCTTAGAGCAGTTCGGCTGGCGAGAAATTTCAATTTTTCTAAGCAAGCATTGAAGCGACTAAACTTTGAATTATTTCAAGTTTTCATTGAGCAAATCGATTGGCGAAAAGTGTATGCTTTTCTAAGCAAGCTCTGCAAGAAATGAAACCTTGAAATATTTCAAGATATTCCATAGCGCAAATAGGTTTGCAAAAAGCTAGTTTTTCTAGCAAGGAGGTTGCTGTTTTTCGTGAGTTCGTTTCCGAAGGAAATCAATCAGAAAAGGCAAAATTCAGGAAAATGAATTTAGTTCATCTTGTCTGAAGAAATGAATATTCTTGAATATTCCATCCGTAAGAAAATTTCAAAGTTCTAGAATTTTCTTGGCCTTCTCTTAAACGTTAAGCCAAAAGAACGTTGCATTCGACAAAGCTAAAACATTGCTTTCACTTAAAAATTGCGTCCATAGCGCATCCCGACTTTCATTTTATATATAAGAAGATTCATTCACCAAGGCTATGCACCTAAACTGCCACCAAATGAAGACTTTTATTTGCAAGATGGGTTAGACAAAAAGTTGATTCGTAAAATACAGACGCACAGCTGGACTTTGCATTATGGAGATAGATAGACTCGCGTCCTCGCATCTGCACCATGTGCTCTTAAATCTCTCAAAACACTAGCCACCAATATGATGGCTAAACACGTGCTATTAAGAAACGAAGTGTACCATAACACAAAGATCGCTTGTGTGAACTCTAAGCTAACTTTTTTTTGCACCAGTTCCGCTTTTTTACAGACTACAGTAGAAAAAAGACTAGTAAGAATTTGCATCTACCTGTGTGACAGTCGTGTCCAGCAGCGCCACTGCATTAATGAAACTCAAGGTCGCAGTTGCCAACTTGAGCACATGCTCAGGCGGAGGAGAGGGAGGAAGCAAATTAGAACTTCTGCTTTTGTTTCCAGTTACATCCGAGTGGAGTAGTGTTCCGTACAGGAGGGAGACGGCACCCAGCAGTTCAGTGGATTTGAGAGTAGTCACCAGAAGTGTGAAGTCGTCACTCACTCTCTCCGTCACAAACTGACCCAGCCTGAAAGAGAGAAATGCCCAACCTCTACATACAATCAGTATATTAACAGCGAATACTGATCCACACGCATTGAACCATTCTAGTCAAAAGCATAGCCAACAGGCATTTGGAAAACAGTCAAAAAACGCAAGGAACAGAAAGCATAGCCAATTGACAGTTGTAAAAGAGCAATGAACGCAAGTGAACAGAAAACAAAATTGAATTTGTTGAAAAAAATCTCTTTTCGAATTTCAAAGAAAAAAAACATTTACCCTTTAAGCTCTTTGAATTTCTAGAACCATTCATGATTGGCGTTTTTTATATAACATTAACCAATAGAATAAATTTTTATTCCACTGCAAATCTAAAAACTAAATCCCACTTCGCGCCATTTGTGCTATTTACGTATCTTTCAGCAGATCTTTCAAATTTCAATTGAACTCGAACGGTACATATATTTCTAAGGGCATTCATAAATGCATATAAGTGGAAGAATGCACATCTGTAGTTATTAGAGCATTTTAACACATTCTCCTAAAAAAAAAACAAAAAAAAATTACCAAGACCTACAAAAGAGTCTTCACTACGTTCATTACTCTTGAAAAAAGTACTGACTTGAATTTTTAAAATCCTTTCCAACATCAAAGAAAAAACTAAACTGCCTTGAAGCTCTTTGAATTTTAAGAACAATATATGATTGACACTTTTTCGCTTAAATTAACTTATATTGAAAAAAAAAATTGTCGTGATCTTTACACTTGCTGTTCGATAGTTTACTTTGCCTTTCTCTTAACAAGGTAAGTGAACTGAACTTGAAAAGAAACTAAATGGCAAATGGTATTTAGTAGTTCTCGAGAAAATTCAAAAATTCTCCAAAGCTTCTAAATATCCACAAAAAAAACAAATCCATTGAATTTTCATTATTTCAATTTTTTATCAACAGTAACTAGCCTCCAGCAAACCAGAAACAAAAATACAATGACATGCAGCAAGAACAAGTCAAAAATAAAAATGCAAGTGCCACTTAAAAAGAAAAAAAATTCATACCATAATATGGCACACAGCTGCGCAAAATTTATAAAAATCGAAAATCATTCACAAATTTTTCTTCTGAATTTCCTGTTTTTTCCCGTTTATAGCTTTTCAAAAGGTAAGAAAATAGTCAACAGACAGTTGTAAAAGAACGCAAGGAAAAAGGAAACAAAATAATAACTTGTTTTTTGAAAAAATCTCAACTCAAAAAATTCAAAAAAATATGATTGGCCTTTTATTGATAAAATTAGACCAATTTGAGAAAACTGGATAAATAAGTAAAAATTTTATTTAGCAGGAAAATCTGATGATTACATATTTTCGAACTTAGAACTCGATCACGGTTTTCGAGACCTTCACACTTATGCTGTGCAATAGTGGAGTTTCCCGAGAAAAATCACGACTTATGTAAGAGTCTGAACTACGTTCATCGACTCTAAAAACTACCGAAATGAGCGGTATTATTAGATAGAAAAGCAAACTTAATTGTATAAAATGTACCAAAAAGGGTTCGTATTTTTTTAACTTCTCATTATTCATTACATTTTGAGTTATTCACTTTTGGTCCCAGGAATGGTTAAAATTAAGCTTCATATATTGAACAAAAATAACCGACCCTATCAACTGACCCGCTTTTCAGTTGACTACCCTACACAACTGCGCCACTGACGCATATCGAAACCAAAGAAAAGCGAGAAAGCGGCAAAAGGGAGCTTACAAATGCACGAAAAGACAGGTTTGCATGTAATAATTTGGATTGCAACAAACTAAAGTCAGCCACATTAACTTTGCATGCAAAAAATGGAACGTTTAAACGCAAATTGTGTATAACTTTTGGATCTGAAAAATTTCGTGATATAAACAGAATTGAAAAACTTCAGAAAATGAGTTTTTAGTATTTTACTGTTGTATGAAGCAAATAGTTTTTTTTTCGCTTCAATTGATCAATTGAAAAGTATCAATAAGGTAATTCATTGCTAATCAAATGTCAAATCGCATTCTGCCAAATACCGCAAGGGTGCCCCAAAAGTGGCACCAATATTTGTGACTTAGATTGGAAACAAAAAGAATAGTCGCGCTATCACACTACGCTCGCTAAAGTCCGCAAGTGTAATAACTGGATGAATAGGCAATTTTTTTTTATTCCGCTAGGAAATATGAAAAACTCAAATCCATTTTCAAAACTAGAAGTTTATCACGATTTACGTGACCCTTACCCTTAACAAAGGAAATGAACAGAACTTAAAAAAATATCTAAAGACAAAATGCAAAAGTTAAAATGAGCCTGAACAAATTTCCTGAAAAAAAAAATAAAAAAAAAACTCATCGACCAATATAGGAGTCTGAATTAAATTCATCAACTCTTATACAAAAAAAATCACCAAGACCTATATATGAGTCTTCAATACGTTCATTTCTCTAAAAAATTGCACAGGGCAAATTTTATCCGCTGCGATGGTGTTGGAAGGAATCTCGATACAGCACATTTCTTTGTAGTTCTTTTTAAGGTTAGTCAGTGATCTTGCTGTTTTTTTGATGTTCGACAATCGAGTTTTTCTTCTTTAAACCAAGAACAAGGACACATATTGAGAAAAAAATCCAAACTCGAACAGCAAAAAATCAAATCTGAGCATTAACCGAAATTAATAAGAAAAAAGCAAAACGACTTCATTGACTCTTAAAAAATAAAACTGCCAAAACATAACTTGAATGTCAACAGCTTCTTTTTCTTTTTTGGTTCTGTGTTTCTGAAAAAACTAACAAAACGACTTAAACGAGTGAAAGTTCACATCTGCAAAAATCAGTCACCAAAAAAGTCGATTTACCAGATGCTAGTAAATCGCCAATTCTATGCAAGTATACTGCCTCTAGCTAAACATTTAGATTTGCAACTTGGGTTAGAAAAAAAATGGAATCGTAAAATACACACGCGGAAATGAGGAGGCAAACATTAGCCTTGAAAATTGTCGCAAGGTGACCTAATAAAACCCCCAATATGAAAATTATTATACTCGCGTCTTCGCAGCTGTACTATGTGCTCTTAAATCCCGTAAAAACACTAGCCACCAATATGATGGATGAACAGGTGCTATTGAACGGTCCTATTGAACTAAGGAGCAAAATAGCCACCAAAATGAGTACTATCTGATGAAAGTTGGATGGTAAAAAACGAATTGTACTATAACACAAAGATCGCATGTGTAAACACCAAGCTCACTTGCTTGCTTGTGTAATAAAAGAGAGCCAACAAACAGCTGGAAGTGACAACTCAAAAACATAGCCAACGGACAGTTGGAAAATAGTAATGAACGCAAGGAAACTGAGAAAAAAAACCGACTTGTTTTTTCATAAATCTTCTATTTTTGAATTTCGAAAAAAATATATAGATGGCCTTAAAGCTCTTTAAAATTGTAGAACAATTTATGATGGACACTTGTATGTTGAAATTGACAAAAACTGGATCAATAGGTAAAACTTTTATTTCGCTGGGAAATCTGATAATTAATTTCCATTTTCGAAATTAGAAGTCGATCACGTATTTCGTGACCTTTAAAGTTTTGCCGTTCAATGGTAGATTTTGCGTTCCTTTTAACAATAGAAACGCACTGAACTTAAAAAGAAATCACAAGACAGACCGCGAAAAATCAAATATGAGCGGGAACAAATTTTAAGGCTTTTTCCTGAAAAAAAAATTCGTAATTACTAAATTTAGTAATTACTACTTAGCACCAGTTCCGCTTTTTTTTTTACAGATTACAATTAATAATGACTAGTCAGGCAGGCCAAAATGATTTTGTGAACTCGCCCCAGAACTAGGCACCTTAATTGTCTGAAATTATCGACGATTACAGGCAAATTTTTGAAACATAGCCAACATAAAGTTGTAAAAGAGTCAACAACTCATGTGATCGAAAAACAGGGCAACAGACAGTTGGAAAAGAGTCAATGAATGCAAGTAACAGAAAAAAATACTGAAATGTTTCTTGAAAAAAATCCCAACTTTCGAATTTCCAAGAAAAACATAGATGAAAGCTCTTCGAATTTCTAAAAAAAAATATATGATCTTTTCGATAAAACTAACCCAATTTGAGAAACATGGATCAATAATTCGAACTTTTGATTCGGTGGTAAATCTGAAAACTCAATTTTGCTTTCGAAACTAGAAGCCGATCGCCTTTTTCAAGACTTTCACAATTTTGCTTCTCAATAGTGGAATTTGTCTTCGCTTTAACAAAAAAACTAAATTTAAAAATCAAACCGCGGAAAAACAAAAATTAAGCCTTGACAAATTTTAAGAATTTCCTTGGAAAAAAAACAAAAAAAAATCACCACCTACCTATATAAGAGTCTGAACTATGTTCATCGACTCCTAAACTAAGGCTGAAATCGACGCTTTAGGTTTGGAAAAATTTAAGGCGTTCGCTTCTCACCCAAACTCAACGTACTCCAGCGCTCGAGGTGCTTTAAAAACGTTTAATGCTATGCTACGAAAAAAAAATGAAAGAGTCAAAGTGTGGATCCATTAGGTAGCCCCGTAGACAAATCCCTGAAAAGGATGTTTTAAGTCGAATATAAAACTTTTCGACATTTTAAGCTTTATTTCACTTGATACAATTTTTTTAAATAACTTAAACTTTTGCAAAAAGTAATAAAATAGTAGTAAGCGTCTGAAAAAAAATAGAAAAACCGAATCTCGTACATTATCACAAGGAGCAGAGCTAAAACCGTAGATACAAGTTTAATATTTTTCAATTTATTAAACTGATGCAGTATAAAATGGGTAATTCCAAAAAAGTGGCCTCCTCCAAATTCTTAGTGGTTACTCTAATTAAATAACATAACCAATCGAAGATGGGAAAAGACTAATGAACGCAAGAAAACACTGACTTTGTTTAAAAAAACTCAACTTTCGAAATTCAAAGAAAAAAATAGATGCACTTTAAGCTCTTTAAATTTCTAGAACAATTTATGATTGGAGCTTTTTTGTGTTTTTTTTTAACATGAAACCAACTAGAGAAAACTGGACCACTAGATAAAAGTTTTTTTATTCGGCTGGAAATCTAAAAATTAAATTCACTTTCGAAAGTAGAAATTGTTCGTTTTTTTGCGCCATTTTCACGTTCGTATTTGGAGAGGGATAGTTACGTCACTTTCAGCAGATGAATTCCAATTGAACTCAAAAACAGCATTTACACCTAGTGCATTCATAAATGCATCAAAATGTATGAATGCACATCTGTAGTTGTTAGAGACTTTTCATTAAAAAAATAACAAAAAAAATCAGCAAGACCTATATAAGATTCTTCACTGCGTTCATTACTCGTAATTAAGTGAAATTTATTGACAATTTGGAAATTTACGACCACTTAACCATTTTTTTTTAATTTAAGGCGTAGCCGCTTGTTCGTGGAGGCTTCCCATCAGCCGTTGCCTTGATTAGGGCCCTTGATATCAGATTCGGCTAGGTAGTTTTCGAGAAAAGTTTAAAAAATTCAATTGACCTTCCTGAGGGCCATGTTTTAAAATAAACATGACGTAGCCGCTCATACAGGGGAGCTTCTCTCAGCCTTTTCTTTTGTTTGAACCCGAAAGTCTCACATTTGGGAGGGTAGTTTTCGAGCAAAGTCAAAGTTTCAAAAAACGGGCGAAAAATCTATAACTTGACTTCTCCGAGGACCATTAATGTTTTTGGATTAAATTTGGACGAGGCCGTTTATACAGAGGAGCTTCATACAACCTCTTCTGTCGATTGAAACCAAAATATCAGATTTGGGAGGGTTGTTTTCAAAAGAAAATGTTTCGAAAACCAATCAAAAAGTAACAAATATGATTAATCCGAGGCCAAAAATTTTGTTCTATAGAAATTTGGGCGTAGCCGCCAACGCACGATTCCAACAAACCATTCTCTCCATTTAATTCACAATCCCAGATTTGGCAGGACCGTTTTCGAAAACAGTCTCTAGTCAAAAAATACCTATTGAGCCGGAAATAAAAAGATTTTAAGTCCCTCTGAAACTAAAATGACCAACACGAGCAACTACCATGATGTGGCAACTAAACCGACAGTCTTTTCTTTGAGCAGACACAACTTTCACCCAAAAAAAATGATTTATTGATTTTTATAAAAAAATCTTTCAAGTCCACTAAAACTACATTGTAAAACATTTGCACTTGTAACTACAATGCAAGTTGCTCTGAGAACAAGCTAAATTCGCCATGTGGCAAAAAAGCCGACAGAACTTGAGCAGATAAACGAAAATCCGACAATTCAATTTTCACCGGAAAAAGAATTTCAATGGCATACATACTAAAAAAAAAACAAGGCCCGACCAGGACTCAAAACCTTGACCATAGGGTGCAAACGCAAACACGTTACCTCCAGGACAAATATGAAGCAACTGATGGATGGTAGGGTTCAATAATTTAGCAAGTGCAATTTCTTGTAAGCATAGCCAATCGAAGATTGGAAAAGAGTATGAAGGCAAGTAAACATAAAAAAACACTGACTTTCTTGAAAAAATCTCAACTTTCGAAGTTCAAAGAAAACAATAGATGTCCTTTAAGCTCTTTGAATTTCTAGAATAATTTATGACTGGCGCTTTTTTGAAAACATAAACCCAACTTGAGAAAACTGGATCAAAAAGTAAAGTTTTTATTCTGCTGGAAAATCTTAAAAATACATTCCTCTTTCGAAACTAGAAATTGTTCACGTTTATGAACCCAAAAATGTCAAGTTATTTTAGCGCCGTTTGTCTTTCATAATAAGGAATGAAATTTGAATAAGGAAATGAATATAAATTGAACTTGAAAACAAAAACGAACCAAACCGCGAAAAATCAGAAACAACCTATTTGATTGATAAATCAATTCGTACTTTTTCATTTAAGCAGCGAAAAAAACACCCGAATACAAACTCTCCCCCTTCCCCCCATTTCAATAGTCGGAACGATTACACTACTCACATTGTGTGAAGTGATCTCGTGGTGTTGGTGAGTAAAGTCATGAGGGTGGTGAGGAATTGAGCACCCTCTGGGTCCATGTAAACACTCCTCCTCACCCCACCGAAGAAGAGGGCCAGTTTGTCCACCAGACCACAGCACACCATGTAGCTGAACAGATTCTATGCTTATCACATAATGACACACGAATATATCATCAGAAATATTAATTTTCATTATAACATCAAACTCATTTTTTTCAAGTGTGAAATAATGGAATTCGATGACATCAAAAACAAGCGTTTCATAATTCAATTAGTGGTAATCGAGCAGAAACTCATGCATTAAAGTCGTTTTTGATATAAATGCATTATATGTGTTCTTATACCCTTATTAAACGATTGACTAAATCGTACAACTTCCCTGAATGATAATGTAGTAGATGGCGGAAAATCAAATTCAGCTGCCAGCGATGCTGAGGAGCAAACTCATGTGGCGTGAGGCGCTCCTCAAATCTTTTATCCCTACTGATATAAAAATATCAGCAGAACTCATCAGATACAATTTCTTCTCAAAATAAGGTTCTCAGCGGACAACAGAACCAAGACATCAGCATATTTTGACATAGTAGAGCAGCAGCGCTGATTAAGACTTTCTAACGGAGCTCAAACAGTTAGAGAGTTCAGCAATCATGAAAGAATTGGACCATTATGATTTAGGACTTGCTTATAGAAATCGGGGCTAAAGATATCGGGAGCTCATGGCTCTGTATCAAAACACCACATTTTACAGCAGTCAAATGCAGCATTGGATGCCTCTCTAATCAAAACAACTTTAACGTCCTAAGCAAACAACTATAGAACCTTAGATCAAGATATAGTGTAGAGCAGATTAACAGGTAGAAGGAAATCATCGGTAGGTACAAGTATGGGGACAAAACTATCTGAATACAAGCTAATACATGTGGGTGGGATATATGGTATTGGTAGCTAATTGTAGTAGAGTAGACTTAAATACTGAAGCAGAGGCGAAGCAGAGCTGAGCTTCACACCGTGCGATACAACACAAGCATAGCATGATAATTTAGCACACAAAAATTGAGACGGAAGGGTTCCAGTTTGGAAAGAAAAACAGGCCCTGGTCAGATTCGACCCCAGGACGTTTGTCGTCCGAGGCATATTCGTTACCTCCCGGCTGAGTTAGCCGGGAACGCATAGAAGTTTGAATTCATTATTAGCCAAGATACAAATGATTCTGTTAAACAAGTTGCTAACCCGAAAAAAGTCTAAATTCCAATTTAATAACGCTTGCATATCGCAATCGTAAAAACATATGCCCTTAAAGCTCTTTGAATTTCACAATCAACTAATGATTGGTTATTTTTTTGATTAAATTAACCTAATTTGAAAACTGGACCAATAGGCAAAACTTTTATGTCGCTGGCCAATCCGAAAATTATTCATTTTCGAAATTAAAAGCCGATCACGTTTTTCGTGACTTATGCAATTTAGCTTCTCGAATTTGCAGTTTGTTTTCCTCTGAAAAATGAAAAATTAGCATGAACAAAAAACAAAGACTTTTTCTTTTAAAAAAACAAAATCACCAACACCTATATCAGAAAACTCACTGCGTTCAACAATTCAAAGTTGAAAAAACTTCAATGTAAAAAATATATGGCCTTCGCCCTCTTTCAATTTCATGGCAAACTTATGATTAACTCTTTTTTGATAAAACTAACTCAATTTGAGAAAACTTGATTAAGAGGTAAAATTTTCATTTTGCGGGGAAATATCAAAGTTGAAATCCACTCCTCGCAGTTTCCACGTTTGTATTTGGAGAATGAAATTTACCTCCTTTTTAGCAGATGAAATTTAAACTGCATTCAAAAAATATATACATACTACCTAAGTGCATTCATAAATGCTTTAACATGTATGAATGCACATCTTTAGTTACTAGAGTATTTTAAGACTTTTTTCCTTAGAAAAAAAAACAACAAAAAGCATCAAGACCAATATAAGAGTCTTCACCATGCTCATCGACTCTTGAAAAATTCAAAAACACAACTAAAATATTCCGAAACAATTGTAACTTGTTTATGTCTGCCAATGGGGCTTTTTAAAAGAAAACGGAACCACCGAAATAAGACCGTGTTATGAGAACTTAGCAGACAAAATAAACAGACAGACGATAGTCCCAAAAAAGGTCTAGTTGGCAAAAACCTGGTCCCGAACGGATTTGAACATTAAAATTTTCTCGTTTCGCGCAGGTATATTACTTCTACGCCAGATGCGCTGGATAAGTGATTGATTTTGGAATTCATTATGAAGCAAGTTGAAACAAGTGTAACTTACACGTGCGAAACCTTGTGACCAAAGTTGTTTACAGGGGGGGGGGGGGGGTCAGTATAGTACTCGGTTGCAACAACTAGTACTCGTTTGCAACACCTAGTACTCGGTTTCACCACCTATTAACGGATACCGATTTCAACGGATACCGATTTCAGTGGTACGAACGGATGTTTCAGCTTCTTTGATGCAGCAACGAATACTTGACCACTTCTGACAAAAACAGTTTCCCACGAAAAATTGAGACGCTATACGATTCAGCAGAAATTTAGGTCTATTGACTTGATTGATGAAAATTTTAGTCGCAGTTCAACCACGCTTGCAACATAAAACTTAATGGAAGGATATATGATGTGCATTGTGCATGCCACAAAGAGTTCAAAACGAGGAAAACATACAAATGTTTACGACGAAAATACACGAACAAGAAATATATCAGTTGATTACAATGAACTAACAAAATCGAAGACGACAGATGGTGACTGGGAAAGGTTTTGAGCAATATATTCTTCTCTGCATTTACCTAACTGTGTCGGTGATTCTGCCTTTGCACTGATCATTCACTACTGGTCTGTTGAACTGCACAATCACACCCTTTCCTCCCCCTCCTCCTACAATTCCACTGCAGTTGACTTTGACACTGCTTTTGTTCACGCCACTGCCCGAGTACACTTCGTTGTCCACTGCGTACTGGGTCATGGTCTCCAACACTGTGGATATTAGGGTGCAGAGGGAAGACACTATTTGACTTTTGGGAAGAGGCTGCTGCGGTTGCCCATTAGTCGAACCACATTCATCAACACGTTTCAGGAGAGACTGAAAGAATCATAAATTGATAGAAATAATTTAGAACATAGCCAACTTAGTCGGAAAAGAGTAATGAACGCAAGGAAACTGAAAAAAAAACTGACTTGTTGTTTTTTCAAAAACAATCAACTTTTGATTTTCGAAGAAAAAAATAGATGTCCTTAAAGATCTTTGAATTTGTACACACCTTATGATGGTCATTTTTTTGTTAAAATTAACCCAATTCGACAAAACTAGATCAATAGGCAAAACTTTTATTTCGCTGGGAAATCTGATAATTAATTTCCATTTTCGAAATTAGAAGTCGATAACGTTTTTCGTGACCTTTAAATTTTTGCTGTTCGATAGAGGAGTTTGCCTTCCTTTTAACAATAGAAACGCACTGAAATTAAAAAGAAATCACAAAACAGACCGCAAAAAATCAAAATTTAAGTGAACAAATTTTAGGACTTTTCCCAGAAAAAAAAACAAAAAAAGACCTATTGTGAGTACTCACTACGTTCATTACTCTAACTTAACTTTTTAATCTGTCCCTGAGTCCAGAAATGCCTTGTTGTTATATGGTGGATATGTTCAGGTCAAAAGTCATTTATTTCAAACGATTCACATTATACGGCTAACATATGATTATACACTTATACGCTTGATACTATTGACCATAAAATCCTCATTAGTAAATTGAAGAAGTATAGAGCAAAGAGCAAAACCTCAGATTAGCTGAGAAGTAATTAAGTAACAAGCCAAGAGCGTAAAGAAATGGTTGGAACCAATTCCTTCTGCTGAATTTATTACTTTAAATTTTTCCATCAAGTAAGTTTTCGAACCTTGAAAAATGACACACTAAACCGGTTGAGTTGTTTTTGTCAGTAGTATAAGATTGGTACAGAGGCGAAGCTGCGCTTCCTAAACAATAGCGAGAACACGAAAAAAAAGCAGCTTTAAGTGAAATGAGAAAAGATAGAAATAAGCCTCGAATTACAATAACTTTGCTACGTATGGGCTTCAAATCTAAGACCTCGAGTCTCACGCCCTACGCTCAGAGCCACGAACGCTCTACAACCGGCAAACACAAGTCACAAAAAAGCAGCTACATATACTAACAAATTACCAATGCTATGCAGCCAGATACAAATCGACACAATTTAGCAAGTAGTAGCTTGGAATATAAAAAGCTGAAGGCATCCACACTAACTTGGCATATAACAAATTGGAAAGCATAAAGCCACATTATCTATAAAATAATGCATTTCGAAAAATTGCGAGATATATTGAGTTAGAAAATTTCTGAAATCGAGTTTTCATTTTTAATAGCGTTTAACGCTCCTCCGGTGCTTCGAATTTTTAATAACTCCTAAAAAACCGCATACATTGGAAATAAGATCTGCATCCTTTCACATCACCCAATAACAGGGATAGTACTTTCAATTTTTGTAAAAAATGTTCTTATTCTAGTTTTCTTTTCAATTCAAATTTGCAAAACCATAAAATTTTAAAATGAAATAAAAACGTCACAACTCGGACACTAAAAGCAATTGAGCAGTCGCATTTGAACGCAAAATTTGCAACTCTTGGGAGTAACCTCAGAGTGCCCAACTACAGTGTTGGGAATTTCAAAATTTGAGAAACTTCAAATTCAATATTTTCTAATTTTTTTTTTGAAAAAAAACTACATATCTCTACAAACTACTAAAAAAAAGTATCGAGAAATCATAATTGGAGGCAAGTTTTTCAAGCCCTGAGTGCTCTAACATTTGAGGGTCACATTTGGAGGCAAGATTCACAACCCCCAGAGAGAACTCAGAAAGTCCCCAACTACAGGGTTCAGATTGTCAAAATTTGACGAAAAAAAACCTACTATATATTTAAATGCCGGCCACTATCTCGTCATGCTTAGGCTTTTCCAAAAACTTTCCGAAGCCTCGCATAAAAAACAACAAAACCCATTTATTTTTATGATAACTGTTTTTTTTAAACATGACCTAATACTAGCCAAAAATATAGCAGCAAAATATGCTTTCAAATTGCTTCTGCTTAAATAGGCTTAAATATGACTAAATTGAAATATACCGAAAATGCAACCAAATGAGCACTTTTATTTGCGACTTAGTTTAGAAAAAAGTTCTTCGTAATAATGCACTACGCTTCGCATGTGTTATCAGATAAAATTACGTTACCTACCTTATCAAAAAACGTTTTATCATTCTATTTGATAAAAAATGAGATGCATTTCAATAATTTCGTTAAATAAATTAATTTTCTTCTTCACATGACTCAGATGATCCAAAAACAGAATTCAAGCATGCACAACTATCTTAAAAAATATTACCAAAAAAATGTTGTTGCTTTTTTGAAATCGATTAACTCGTTTCCACTCAAACTATAACTGGACATTATCATCGATAAAGTGATATTTCAAAGCCATGTTAACTGATCCATCTTAAATTTCAACAGCAACTGTTCCAAGTTTTATACTTTTCATTAGTTAAAGTTCTCATTATATACAGTTTCATACCCCCATGTGGTTGTTGATGATGTCTACTAGGGGCGATAGTTTGTTGCTGAAGAGTAAGTAGCGACAATTTTCGACTGAGGCCGGTGCACCGCTACCTGCAGGAGACAATAGACAGCTGTTCTGCAGCACAGACGCCGCCAGACATTCTGATCTAAACTCAAATAGACGAAAACAATGAGAACATGTGATGTAAATAGCATCAAAACAGGGGGCTAAACTTAGACTGGCCGTGGCCGAGTGGGTAAAACGTGCGGCCTTTGACACGAAGGACGTGGGGTCGAATCACACTTTAGTCACCGATCCCAATTCAAGGTCCAATATAGTGCGGAGGGAGTAGGGCTGGAGCAAGTTTTAAAAAGGGGTTTAACTTTAACTAGCTAGACTCCCTTTTTATTGAAGCTTCATCATATTTAGGCTCTTCGAACTTCCCGAACCTAATATTAATTACATTTTCTGACAAGGCTAACCCAATTTGAGATAAATGAATCAATAGGTAATGTTACTTTTCGACACTGAAAAATATCAATCAAAATATATTTTTGAAACTGTAAATCAAATTTCAATTTTGAGCCATTTTCAATTTCTCGATTTGAGAAAACAGCTGGCCTTCCACTTGGTGATTGAAATTGAATTATTTATGAAAAACACCAGAAATTAGCACCAAAACAAAAATTTCAGTTTCCATAAATCCTTAAAAATCTAAAGAACTAAAAATTAGTCATCAAACAGCTGCAAAAGAGTCAATGAACGCCAGTCAACAAAAAAAACTGTACTCTTCTTACAAAAAAACGTCAACTTTCGAATTTAAAGGAAAAAAAATAAATGGAAGTTCGTAGGAATTCTAGAACAAGTTATGGTTGAAACTTTTTGATGAAATTAACCTAATTTGAGAACACTGGATCAATACATCAAATTATTTTTTCGCTGGGAAATTCGGTTAAAAAGCTCCAGTTTCGAAACTAGAAGTCGATCACGTTTTTCGTGACCTTTACACTTTCGCTCTTAGATAGCGGAGTTTGCCTTCCTTTTAACAAAAGAAATGAAGAGCACTATAAAACAAAATAGAATTCAAACCGCGAAAAAGTCATTCTGAGCCTGAACAAATCGTAAGACTTTTCCTGAAAAAGACCCGCCCTATATAAAGTATGAACTACGTTCATCGACTCTGACTCACGCTCATTACTTACTACGCTCATTACTTACTACGCCCATTATCAGTCAACGAGTTTAACACATTTAATGCAGAAATAATCAATCTTAGGAAACAAATTCTCAAGAATTATGAACTCATACAAGTCAACGAGTGTTGGACAGAGGCGAAGCTGAAATTTGCAAGCAAAGCACATCATTGCCAACAGCCAGTTGGAAAAATATCAGTGAACACAGAGGGGACGCTGCGCTTTGCAAACACTTGCGAGAACACGACCAAACAGCAGCTCTATCAATTAAAATTTCAAAAAGTTGATATAAGCCTCGAATTAGCAAAAACTCGGCTACGCGTAGGATTCGAATTTGCGACCTACTACAATCAGTAGATTTTAAGTCTCACGCACAATCCAGTCAGCCACGCAATCTTGACAACCGACACGAATAAAGCAGCTGCATGTGCTAAGAAATTGACAATGCCATTCAGCAAGTGGCACCAAAAAATAATATGGATTATAACAAATTGACGGCATCCACATTAACTTTGGATAAAAAAACTCGCAAAATATAAATCCACATTAATAATAAATAAATTATGCACTTCAAAATCCAGTTTTCATTATTGTTATGTTTGAAACAAGTCACTTTTTTCGGTTCATTGTCAAAGCACATGCTATGAAAAAGCTGTAAAGGTACCCAAAAGTGGCACCAATTTTGTGACTTAGGTCCAGACAGCCGCAAATGGCTCTTACCTTACCCTCTCCATCAGGGGAGCGCGAAAAGCATGCTCAGACTGCGTTTTTGGTTACGGAGCTTCCTAAGTCAGTCGTGTTTCTCCGTCTTTTAATTCTTATACTTCTCCTTCGCGCCAACATAAACCCCAACCCCGGACCTTATAACTACTCCCCGTATAATCACAAAATTCTCCGTTCCCAAGCAAGCGTGTAGTGCCACGTTTGTGGATAGATTCATGTAAAATGCAGAGGTCTAACCACACTGAAACACCGTCACAGAGATTTTTACTGTCCCACCTCCACAGCAAATTATACATTGCGCCTCCCATTAACCAATTCCGCAACTAGTTCCCGACCAACTTCTATCCCCTCCATAACTACACTGCTCCCAGCAACTAACACCACCTTGATTCCAAGCACCGACATTTACACACACGCTTCAACTACCTGCAACAAACCCCCTCCCACCCCAGTAACTAAGCAAATCAACTCTCACCGTCGAAATAGGTCCCTGAATAGTCTGCAGTTTAACTGAAATGGCATCTCTGGGAAAGCACCAAAAATGGCAGCTTTAATGTGCAAGTACCGCATCCACATTGCAGTTATCCAAGAAACCGAACTGACTCCGAAAAACCGCACTCCTTCGTTAAGGCCTAACTACACTTCACATAGAAAGGACGGACCGAGAGAGGGAGATCTACTAACTGCAATTCACAACTCTCTTCTCTACGACGAACATGAAATAGTGGACGACGGAACTCTGGAGGCGCAAAGCGTATATGTAAAGGTCAACAATCAGAATCTCCATATCACGATCTTTTATATTCCTCCCCATAGTAGCTGTTTTAAGGACTATAAAGCAACCATTTCAACTCTCCTCTCAGAAGAGAATAGTACAAAGCAATGCAAATGCCCACTCCAGACTTCGGTGCTCTAATATACCAGAGGACCGATGCTGAGCTAACCTAGGTGCAGATCTCATTCAATCCTCATTGGCTCCACTACATAATCACCACCAAACTCGACTGCCATACGATAGAAACTCTTCAGCATCATCAGCTGACATATCACTCGCATCTTCCTCAATTTTGCTCAATCTTGCTTAGCAAAAAAAATTCAAACTGTGCTCAGACCATCTATCAATTTTAATTAATCTTACTGTTCTCTCTGCATCCTGTCACTATATCCCTGAAGGATGTCGTCGTTTTTTTTATCTGCACTTAAGGACAAAGCAAAAAACTTGTACAACGAAGGGATAGCATCAGATTAACAAATCCGACAGTCCCACTTTTAAATGACCTAAACAGAGAAATCATGTCAAAAACGGCCAAAGAAAAAGAAATGAAATGACGGGAACTCATCCAGACTTTAAGTCATTATACTTCATCTAGCAAGTTCTGGAAAGTCGTCCGATCGTTAAATGGCCCTAAGTCTGTGGTAGGAACCCACCCAATCAATTTTAATGACAAATAATTTTGAAGGCGAAAGACATTGCAAATGTTTTTAATGTTCAATACACTAATTTGAGAACTCACAAAAGCAACAAAACTAAAACAGTAAACAAGCGAAAAGCCCTGAAACTCAGCTTATCTGACTCTTTAAATTTTATACCGCTCGAAGTCGAAAGTTCCATTAAACTGATGAAACCTTCAAAAGCCCTAGGACCAGACGGTCTATGTACGGTTCATCTAAAACAAATTGGCACAGTAGCTATTGATTTTCACGCACATTTTTAACCGCTCTCGATCTCTTAACATCATACTTCAATTATGGAAAATTCATATGTGGTGCCCCTCCCTAAACCAGATAAAGACCCCAAATTATCAGACTCCTACCGCCCGGTATCGATTTTAAGCCCAGCTGTCAAAATTTAAGAATCTTTAATTCAACCAAACCTAACTAAACACCTACCCAAAGCCGGCCACTAACATGGTTTTTGACCACTGCACTCAACCACTACGGCAATATCAGTCCTCGAAGTTTTTTTTTCATCAGTTTGTACTAAAAGAAGGTTTGTACTAACACACTCCGCTGACGACTAGTTTAAATAAGCACTGTTGCTCAAACTGGTTAAATAACGCATGAATTTTGTTTTGAAATTGTTACGTTTATGCGCAGGGGAAAAGTGGTCTCGTAGTAGATACGACACAAGGTGCGCTTATGCAAACACTGAGAACTAAAAAAACTAACTTGGCAGGTATTGTAGTAATTGACTTCTCAAAGTTCTCATTAGCCATGAGCAGCACACGACACACGACTGCAAAACCCGACTGGTCTCGGAAATAGTTTCTGTCTGCTTCACCCACCGACTGAAACGACTCAACACTTTCGCTTCTAGACAGACCTTACTTTCCCAAATTAACTATAGCGAGACGATACATTCTCGTCCCTTGCAAAGCAAAATAGTTAATTTAGGTCAAAAATATAACCCGAAAACTCGGTTGAAAGATATAACCCAGCCAATCGAAGATTGAAAAAGAGCAATGAACGCAAGTAAACATAAAAAAAACACTACTTTCTCGAGAAAATCTCAACTTTCGAATTTCAAAGAAAAAAAATAGATGCCCTTCAAGCTCTTTGAATTTCTAGAACGATTTATTATTGGCGCTTTTTTGATAACATGAACCCAACTTGAAAGACTGGATCAATAGGTAAAGTTTTTATTCCGCTGTGAAATCTTAAAACTGAAATCCACTTTCGAAACTAGAATCCCTCACGTTTTTTCGCGCCATTTCCACGTTCGTATTTGGAGAGTAGTATTAAAGTCACTTTCAGCAGATGGATTTCAATTGAACTGAAAAAGTTCATTCTACCTAAGTGCATCAATATTTTAAGACTTTTTCCTGAGAAAAAAAAATCAGCAAGACCTATATAAGAGTCTTGACTACGTTCAATACTCTTAATCAGAATTTAAATAACAAAATCATGTACGAGTGCGACATTTTATTCTTAATTATCTTACGCAATGTTTCATTGTGATCATAGCATCCGTCGTTATGTTTTTTTTTTCTTCCGAAACCAAGTCGTTTTGTTGTCTATTTATTGTCAGAATATCTCACCTGTTTATTGTTACCATTGGAAGCAGTTAAACTCTTGGTTAACAATCTGTCTAACTCGCCCAGATGACGGTCCAGCTGGCCCACTTTGCTGTCCGGCCATGCTCCTGATCCAGGCGCCGATATCAGTTTGTTCACCTCCTTCACGCTCTTCTGGATCTTAGACTTGTTCTCCGAAGTACGATCTAGAGACCCGCCGGTTTTATCCTGAAACCACAATGTTCCTACTTTGACTAATTACTCGAATGATTATGCTATAATGATTATGCTATAACTATCAATCGTATGATTCTTTTCATATAGTTGAAAAACTAAAAAATCAACAACCCTCCACATCTTTAAAAAATCTTACAGAAAATTAAAAACAAGAAAAACTTGAAAGAAAAATTATTGAAAACAATCAAAATAACATAGCAGACAAATAGCTAGAGAAAAAGGCTCTTCAAAGGCAAAAATTGACATTTTATTCAAATGAAATTAACCCAATTTAATAAAATTCGATTAATAGCCATTGATATAGGTATTGATCTTTCTAATCTCTTTTCGTCAATAGCACTGATACTTGGAGAACGTTATTAAACACAGAGGCGAAGCAGAGCTTAGGACCACTTGCAATGCAGGAGAAAGCCGCAAAGCAAAAAAAAACTTTAAAAAAAATCAAAAATGTCGAAAAAAAATTATCAAAAAACTTAATCAGCAACAGAATGTGAAAAGATAGCCAACAGAGAGTCGGAAAAGAGTCAATGAACACAAATAAACAGAAAAAAAAATACGCACTTGTTTTTCGAAAAGTCGAATTTTGAAACTTCTCAAGAAGAATGGACAGCCTCAAAGTCTTTTTGATTTTCAAGAACAATTAATGATTGACACTTTGTTGATAAAATTAACTCAATTTGAGAAAACTGGATCAATAAATTTTTTATTTCGCTTGGAAATCTGAAGATTAAACTCCACGTTCAGAAAAATAAGTCGATCACGTTTTCGTGACCTTTTAACTTTTGCTGTTCGATAGTGGAGTTTGACCTCCCTTTAACAAGGAAACCAACTGAACTTGAAAAAAGTCAAACCGCTAAAAAGTAAATTCAAAACTGAACAAACTTTAGACTTTTGCTGAAAAACAAAAAAAAACATCACGACCAATATTAGAGTCTGAACTACGTTCATATTAATTAGCATAGAAAGAGAAATTACCAAGTGGTAACAAAGCCAAAAATACCTGAGCGGAAACCCTTTATATCGAAAAGTTCTATATTACTAACAAAGTAAATTAAAAAATTTCAAATCTCCTTCCCCCTCAAAACGAACAGACATTAACGCTCATCAATCGAATCACAATTAGGCCACATAGAAGACATAATATAGGCTGAAACCTACTAATCCGAAAAAAGAAAGAAAACCCAAAACAAAACTTTAACTAGATAGCCAACTGACAGTCGAATTTCAAGAGAACTGATTCTTAATGGTTGACACTTTTTTCAATAAGAATAAGCCAATTTGAGAAACTAGACCAATTAGAAAAGTTTTCATTACACTGCGAAATCTGAAAGTTCAAGCCCACTTCGAAACTAGAAGTCAATCAAACTTTTTGAGACCTTTGCACTGTAACTGTTCGACAGTGGAGTCTGCCTAACTTTTAACAAAGGAAATGAACTGAACTTCTGAAGAAATCAAAACCCAAACCGCTATCAACAAAAATTGGCGAGTGAATTAATTTTTCCAGAAAAAAAAACTCGAAAATCCCGCAGTGTTTTGTTTTATTTTCACTGCCTTGATAAATAAAAACCACTTTGTTCGTTGATGCTTAAAAACTCAAGTCGGGATGCATCTCAAATTCTATTTAGAACTAAATTCTTGCCTTTGACGCGTCTTTGGCGTGGTTTGCCAGTTGCAGCTCGAACTCCTTCGCCCTCTGATTCATCCTCGTCTTCACCTTCTTCAGTTTCTTCTTCATACTCTCCAATCTCTCCTGCTGCTGCTTCTGCTTCTCGGCCAATAAATCTTTCGATGCACTGCACTGTTCGTTCTCTTTTTGATTAGACACTATATCGCCAATGTACTTGTAATTTAATCTCTCCTAAACGCAACAGGGCTTCTACTTGCAGGCGTCTCTCTTTCTTTAAAACCACACAAAAAACAGACCTTCTTTCGAAAAACTTCAGCAGTAATTATTACTTATTTATTTTTCGCATTTTACAGCTGCTTTTCTAAGGTTTGCAGATCGACTGGAATGCAGTTCAAAGGGAGGGTTCTCATGCTTGAAGGACCGAATGCTTGAAAAATTTCAACCAATCAAAATCGCAGAGATATTCTATTGGCTAAATGCCTTTCTCCCAAAATCGAAGTCAAAATTAACAGAAAACGTATTAAATGAGTGGAAAATAATCAAAAACATTACAAATTGTGGGTAACAACCGCAATACTATTCAGATAATCATCAAGATTAATGAGGTCAAAGTCATAAGAATTTTTCAGTCTTGAAAACTCATCTGCTTATTATGTAATCGGTCAATATTAACACTAATGGCCTGGATTTATTTTCTTACTTTCGCTTATTTTCGCGATTTACTTTGAGACTTTGAATACTCAATTCTGATTGGCTGAAAGTAAGCTAAAATTAGTTTCAAGCATTCGGTCCTTCAAGCATGAGGGACGCCACCCAGTTCAAACTTACAGCTTCCTGCTCTGTGATTGGCTCTGATCTGTTCAACTCTTTTCCCATGGCCTCCAGATGTCTCTTTCCTCTCTGGTGACTCAACAAGTGCACCTCACTCTTCAGCTGATGAAAACAATACAAAATATGGATCTACCACCATATTGTACCTACGAAAGAATCTCCCCCCACCCCTTCTTGAAAGGGGCAGATTGTTAAGTAGATCCCAAAATATAGCCGACATCTTTATTGAACTCAAGAAAACCGAAACAAAAAAATTATAAGTTTGCTGAAATCTTTTTTTATTATGAAAGCGTAAATTTGAAAGGCGATCAAGAGTCCAGCCGATCGAGAAAAATGATCGTTAAAAGCAGCGCCTTCTTCACATCTTCGTTCACTGTCTTTTACAAGTCTTCGTTCAAAAGAAAATAAGAACCACCACAAAAACTGTACTTTGACAAATAACAGCAAAACAGTTATTTCGTAATTATTAAATTCGTTAAAATCTTTACCCTCTGAACATTCTATTCTACTAGCAACAGGCTGCTTCTGTGATTTACAGCATTTTCACGATAGCTTTATTGAACTTTCGGATTTCTTTGACTATTTCCTTCCACCTCCCCAAAAAACTAGTCGCGAAGGCGGAAATAAATAAAGAGAACTTACTTGCACGTTGCACAGGTAACACATCTTCTGTGTAGCATATAGTTCCATAGAGGGGGGTGCATTCACGCCATTGGGCAAAACAGTCGACCCTGAACTCCCTGCTGAAGAAGAAGAAACATAGCTATTGCTGCTCTTCTCGTTATTAGTGACATCTGAGACCTTCTGTTGTTGTTGGGTTTGTTGTTGTCCTGTGCCACTGACAAGACTAGTGCCATCACTGCTTCCGTTGATTGGTGTTACACTCGGCCCATAGGCTAGTTCGGCCGCTCTCTGCTGTCGCTCGCTGAGAAGCTGTTTGTATCTGCCAAAACACAGTTACAGTCAGTTTACCATACTAACAACCAATGCCAACAAACAGCTGGAAAACTGTTCATCAACTTCCAATTAATTAAGAATAACTTTCGAATTTTACAGAAAAATGTACATCACCTTAAACGTGTTTGAATTTGGTGAATCTTCTCTCTTTCAAAAGTTTTGGATGAACCTAAGCCATATTGGTTTAGACATTGAACCAAAGCGTAACTTTTTATTTACTTTTTCCAATTTATTTTCTGGTTATTTTTTACCAGAAAATTAAGATTACATTTTTTCAAGTCAAACGTGCTATTTAAGAGCGCCAAGGTCACTTCAAACACCGAGAGCAATTAATGAAGTGTTTACTGGAGATGGTAGCAATTTTGCAATAACACAAAACAATAGCACGGACCATTCAGCTACAATGATTCATCAAATCAAAGCCAGCTACTTTTAGAAATATTAGAAATTGGATCTGATGACGCTAAATTGCATGTTGATTTTCTCTACGGAGGAAAATTTAGACGCCCGGAGAGCAGCACAACTTGGCACATCGAAGGAATTTTTAAATCGTGCCCCACAATCTTCAAACATAGCCAACTGACAGTTGGAAAAGAGTAATGAACGCATGAAAACTAAAAAATTGTGACGATAATTTTCGAGCTTTAGAAGAGCTGAACGAGTTGAAACCTTGCCGGAAGACCCCAAAACTTCTGTTAAATTGTTGAAAGGCGTCGATATATGCCCTACATTCAGTCTTACCACATTATCGAAGGCTATTTTTCATATTTTGCAAAAGGCAATTGCAGAAAAAATAAGGAGCTCAATTTAGCCCCCTTTAACGATCCGATCCGACTTCTAGAGAAAAAGCTCACTGTGCAGACAGTTGTTCCCGAAAACGATTTAGCGAAAATTCTCCAGTTACTCCAGATGAGAAGTATTCGAAAGGATATGGACCTTTCTCGTACAAAATGTCGTGTATAAACGCCAGGTACCTTCCTACTCCCTCCCAGACCTGTTAAAAGAATTTGAGTGGCCGCAAAATCAAAATCCAAACAATTCAGTGGACAAGAATAAGCTTGTGTGAATAAGATCCGGAGAAGGCATCAAAAACAGTAACATACAGTCAAATACAGTAAAACATGAGAAGTTGATAAACTAAAAAAACTATCAGAACAACTGAATTACCAATATACTGCAAGGATTAGCTTTTAACTTTGATTTCTGATAGATTTGTTTCCTTTTACGTCAAATGAGCTTTAATTTATTTCTTTTAATTGTTCAATATCAAAGAAAACATTGATACGAATATGAACTGTCACTTAATGAAAATCGTCGCTTGTTAAGAGTTGTCGCCTTTTACAAAATTACCAACTGTCGCATGTTACGAGTAATCGCTTGATATGAATTTTCCACAACCATTACAAATATTTTATTGTGAGAATGAAGTATAAAACTTTTTAAAAAAAATCAATTTACTTGTTATTAAACAAAAAAAATCAAGTTTACAATCCCTCCAAAAAGAGTCGATCAACCCAGTCTTCCATCATCATAATTTGAAAGATTGTCAAAGCTTTTATTTAAAAGCTCATTCATAAGGGAACACACTGTTTCTAAAAGAGTCTCCGAGCAACTTACATTTACATTCTACCCCAAGGCCACTTTATGGGGAAGTAATCTCAATCCAATTAAAAGGTTGGTGTTGATTGACTGACCTGGCATGGGAGTGGTGTTGTTTCTCCTGAAGTCTCTTCACCAGTCCCTCCACCGCATCTCTCTCCCGCTCCACCACCAGCGCCATCTTCTTCTCCCGCTCCCTAACACAAACATACATCACATGTACAACAAAGCGGATCCTGTTTAGAAGCACTGTCCTCCCTTTCATCGGGGACAACTTCAACGGTTAAGCATTTAACGAATTTTGCGCCATGCAGCGATTCTTCTCCCTATTGCAATAGGTTGGGGGGGGGGGGCAGTTAACAAGATAGGCGATACGACAAGATATCGATATTCGTCGGCTGGTAAAAAAATACTTCGAATGAAAATTACCCCGAGCATATATATTCACTCATTATCTACAGTCCGAATACTGAACAACACATCTTACAATTAGACAACAACCAGGAGTTTATTTTTTTTACAAAATTTTTTCTGCAACCAACTTTCTGTAAACTTTTAACAGCTGGCACCGGCTGCAATACCCTTGTTCATCGCGAGGGTAATAAAAGGCTCGAAAGATGATTTTCTGTATCGTTCATTTCAAACATACTTTCAAAAATACCAAGCAGCAATTTTCTTTATTTGCTACCTGTCCTACCCACTGGGAGGGGCCAGGATGGCCACTTGGTATCTTTTTAGATACTGGTATCTAAAAGTCACTATTTGGTATCTTTTTTTACGTAAGTATCTATTTTCAGACGTGAATGGGAAAGTGCAGGGCAACCAGGACTCTCGTGAGTGGCTTCTCCTGGGCAAGACTTGTGGACGGCGAAGACGAGTTTGTGGAATGTCAGTTGGACAAAAAACGAATCAATATCAGCAATGGGCGATCTCGACTGACGCAACACGAAAACTCAGATGTCCATAAGTGAGTGAACTCTTGTCTTGACTGGTATGATAAAAAACAAAGCAAGTCGTTTGTGTTTACACATCAACAGATTTCTAGTATTTGACTGTTTAGGTCGAAAGTAGCAGCTCTCAATCGGCAGCCAACTTTGCAGGCATCGCTTGTGCAACATTGTGATGTCCAAACGGGAACTCGCAACGCGGTGGCATTGCACGTTTTGAGTCTTGTTTTGAATAAACAGACATTTCGGGTTCATCATTCACGTCTCTCAACTGCGGAAAAACCAAAGCCAGTTATATTGCAGTACATGCACTAGCTCCTTACGCCCGAGAGCAGTTTCGGAACCTATACAGCGGTAAACTTTTTGGGCTGCACGTCGATGAAACAACTTATAATAGAAAATCGCGTTTGGAGTTCTGGATTGTTCATTTTGCGGATGGTACGCGTTTTTGCCGGTACATGACAACAATTGAGCTCGACGTTTCGCTGAATATCGAAGAGTTTCTGAGGAATACGTCGTCGGCGAAAACTTTAGACGACGTTAAGCTTCAAGATGACGAGTTCTCAGCAAACTGTCTAATCTGACTGCAGAACAGGAAAATGGCATTGTCAAGCAGTGGAACACTCATAACGAGTTTCAGTTGAACGAGCTTCTCAAGCGGTTTTTGCCATTCCTGAAATGTACACTGACGAGATATTGTTATGTATTGTTCATTCCGTTAACAGATTTCACTGATAAGAAAATCAAACATTTGGACAACTTGTCTATGTATTTGCATTTATCTTGCTCCGCCGTTCTTGACGCTTTCACAGCTTACAAGTTCAGCTGCGACAACCAATCTGCCGATTTGCGCTTTTCGTATCTGACGGGAAAGTTGGACGCGTTCTCAGAACTCCGAACGTTAGTTGAATCTGTTATGATTGTTTGTGGGCACAACATGGTTGTTGAGTCTGGCTTCTCGGCAATGAAAGTGACAGAGACAGAGTATACGAACGCGTTAACTTCCGAGGTTTATGACGCTCTACGAATAATCCAAGAGTTTTGGGACCGGGACAGTTTCGAAACGTATGTTGTACCCGCTGAGTTGCATCAACTAATCAAAATATCATCGAAAGCTTACAAAGATTTGACGAAATCAAAAAATGCGGCAAACACCAGAAAAAGAGCGTACGCGGACGACCTTAGATCGGAGCTACAGGTGTTCAAGCGCAGAACGCCAGGAGCAGTGCAGAAAGACATTTCTTCTACCAACGATGAGCTCAAAAAAGCAAAAGAGCTGGTCGAGCATCTGGAAAAGAAGAAATCCAAGCTTGAAGCTGACCGCGATTCAGTTGCTGTTTCGTTTGTTAATCAACTGTAAAAAATTAAATTTTGCAGTCATTTGTTTTCAACAGGTTTTAGCGGTGTCTGAAAGTGTCTTTTTTTAAAGCAAAATTTAACTTGGTTACTTTTTGGTATCTTTTTCAGGAATATGAATGAGGTATCTTTTTTATTCCCAACCAAGTGGCCACCCTGGGAGGGGCGTGTCATCCATTTTGCTGAACCCGTTACCTACTCGAGGCGGCGGATGAGAGCGGGAAACCACCAACTGGGACCGAAGTAGGGATCGAACGCCGGACCCTCGTGTTACGAGCCAGGTAGAAATGACGGCAGCTAGTATCACGGCCCCTAGCCAGTTAGCAATGAATGGGTTCATGATGATTACTTAACGAGGAATTGCACACAGGAAAGGAGCTGAACTTGGCATTACACAAGCAAAAGGAAACAGCAAGAGGATTTGTTAAAATAGAGGAAAAAAGCCTTGAAAAAAACCTTACAAAACAAAAGCTTCTGACGACTACGTGATTCGATCCAAGGGCTTCCAGATTTGAGCAATTTTTTCACCGAAGGAACAGCATTGCTTTTTTGTTGTAAATACTAGGCAAGATTTTGTGATAAATACTTTGCAACAGTGAATGCGCTCTAAGTAAGCGGTCAAATCCTATGCTGCCAAATAACTAAACACAGAGACAACTTTGCAACTATGCAATGACTTAATCGACTTCAATTGGAAAGTGAACTGGTGTATTAATACAAGCTACGTGAGCTCCCCATGTGTAGACAGAAATTAGCTGCCACAAAAATACTCAAAAACAGCACCAACTAATTATAAGTTGAAAAATCAGTTACAGTTCAGATATTTCGACACCATTCATTGCTACAAAAAATGAAAAGATGGGAGATAAGTACGGCACAACTGAACTTTAAGGCAAGCACCCCCAAATTTGAGGAGCTCAAAAACAGCTAGTAGGTGGATGTGGCGTGGTATCAAATTTAGTCGCTGTAATTTATCTGCTTGAATGATATTATCGAAGTTGCTGTGACCAAAACACAAGCATGCATAATCGGTTGTTTTACAAGCTACCTAGCGATTTACAGACAACGCATGAAGTAAAACTTGGGCCAAAAGATGTTGCCACACCCCCTCAAACTATCACGCTCTTACTTCCAAGGCGAATGCATAAGCGCAATCACCTTCCTGTTATTTATAGTTCTTTCATAGCCCAAGAAATTATGATCTTTTTAAGCCAACTAAAACACGCGTATCGTCGCATCACCACATATCAAACACTATTACATCCATTCAAATTTAAACGCTTCAAACTGCTAATTGTTTATTTCACACTGTCTGATTTGGAAGCCACACAACAGCAATCATTCTTTTGTAAGCGAACAGGTGGAAATATGCGATCGGAACATCTCACTCAAATCATTACAGACGATTCAATATCTCTAAAATTATTCAAGCTAACGCTGCATTCTTTAATCAGACTATAATGTCAGCATCCGAATGATCCCACATTCAAGTTTTGCGATTTCTTTACATTTATGAAAAACTGAACTTGATCTCTTTACATTTATCTCTTTACATTCATGATTTCTTTGCGTATATCAAAAAGTGAAAGTGATCACCATCAAGTCAAGTTTTGAAGCGTATTGATTCAATTTCACAATTGAGATGAACCTTCTTGCACCTCCAAATCACAGCAATTTTCCTTCGATTCGAAGGAGTAGCATTTTGGACGCCCAATCGAAACAAATGGACAAAATCTTAGTAAGTACCGGACCTACACTATTGGTGAACAGAGATCAGAATATTCCGACCATAGACTGCACATTTCCGTCAACATCTGCGATTCAAGAAACATCCGATTCCGCAGACCATTCTCGAAATGAAGAAGCTACAACGAACAAAACGAACAAACAAACATATAATGACCATGACAACTTATCTGGAAATCAGCTGGAGGAATTACCCGAATACAAAAACCTCAAGGTTTGCTCTCAGAGTTAGAAACTGAATGTTTTTAGACCAACAATGATTCTAAGACTGCCTTCCGCAGGGTCTTCTTTTTGGGACTATTTCTATCTCCTTTGGTGTTCTTATACAGCAGCCATTTCGCATCGACCAACCCTAACAATTTGTTTAAAGGCGTCAAAATACACGAATTTTGCAGGGTAGGGCTCGCTGAAAAACATCCAAACGTTCTGGTCAAAAACTACTCAACACCCTTTTTCGCAGATTTATATTATGGATGGTAAAAAGACCCATGGAATTCAAAGACCAAAAATACTTTTAAAACGCAGAGGCGAAGCGGAGCTTTGCATAACTTGCGATAAAACAAGCATAAAAAAACATTAGAAGTACAAAAAAAAACGAAATATGAGGGAAAAAAACTAGTTCTAATAAGAACTTCGTTTGTCTCGATAAAATTTCAGTCTAGGCAAGCATGCCAAGTAAAACATTTCAAATTTAAGTTAGCATCGGAACAAAACTGACGAGGCGGAAACAAAGCCGAAAATTTTTGAAAAGACACCAGTTGAGCCAAAAAAGTTGATTGTGTAAAAAAAGTTTCTAGTCCCCTAAAAACACAATGAACACAATTGCAACTATAATGAACATAGCCAACTTGACAGTTGAAAAAAAATGAACGCAAAAAAAATAGATGGCTTTAAACCTCTTTGAATTTCTAAAACAATTTATAACAGAGAGGCGAAGCTGCGCTTCGCAAACACTTGCGAGAACACGACCAAAAGCAGATCTATCAAGTAAAATAAGAAAAAGTAGAAATAAGCCTCGAATTAGCAAAAACTCGGCTAAGTGTAGGATTTGACTGTGCGATCTTGCAACGTTGTGTCTCACGCACTAACCACTAGGCCACAGATGCTTAAATCCCCCAAAAAAACAGGCACTAATCAACAAGCCACAAATGCTAATAAATTGCCAATTCGATAACGCAAAAGGGGTAGCAAATTCAAAAAGACACAATTTTCCATGTAATAAATTGGAAAGCATAAAGCCAAACTATGTATAAATTATGCTTTTAAAAAAACTGCGAGATACAGTGAAATGGAAAATTTCTGAAATCGAGCTTTTTATCAACTACTGCTGTTTGAAACAATTAATTTTGTTCGATTCATTTGATGAAATAACACAGAGTCGAAGTTGTTCTTCGCATACACAAGCAAAAATATGACTGATATCGCTACTGAGAAAAACTGAATGAGTAAAACTTTGGGTCTATAAAACTTCTGAAGCTACGCACGGCAATTATGAGTCTACAAAAATGCTAAGTGACGCAAGCTTATTATGAAGCATTAGCAGTACCAGTCAATTTGAAAAAAAAAATACAAACTAACATGCCTCAATTTATAGAGCGAACGCATTTTAACTAATAAACGAAAAAGTTCATTAGAAAGATCCAAACCCGTCCATGTTTAACACTTCTTATTTTGTTGCGGGTCTCCTTCCCTTCTACGCAACAGACCCATGATACCTTGAAGCTAAAGTGCTATATATATAATATAATAGTCTGTGTTCATATCCTTTGTCTGTATTTAACAGCTGGTTATTGATCTTATGCACATACTCCATCAAAAGGACACTAATATTTACGACTTAGGTTGGAAAGAAAAGAGAGTTCATCCTGTCATACAAGCTTTGCTTGTGTAAAAAAAAATAAAAATTTAACTTATTAAAAGAAAAAAATTCAAGTTCCCATGGAACTACTTTGAACATCACTCACACTTGCAACTACAATGAAAGTTGCTTACAAAACAAGCAAAATCCATGATGTGGCAACTACGCCGACAAAACTTGAGCAGAAAAACGAAAATCCGACAAATCAATTTTAACCGGAACATGTATACTGAAAATTGCATACATACTGAAAAAACAAGGTCAGACCGGGACTCAAACCCTTAACCATAGGATGCAAAGGCAACGGCGTTACTAGAGGGAACAAAACTGGAAACCAAATGCTAAATCACATGTGACATACTGTTACTGCAGCCTACCGTTTCAAAAGTCGGTTTTTTATTTGCGAATTAGGTTGGAAAAGAGAAGGTTCGTACTAATACACTCACTTCTTGTTGATAAAACTAACCCAATGAGAGAAAACTGGATCATTGAATTAAGTTTTCATTCCGCTGGGAAATCTGATGATTAAATTCCATTTTCACAATTAGAATTCAATCACATTTTTCGATTTTGCCTTCCGTTTACCAAAGGAAATGAACTGATTTTGAAAAAAAATCAAAAGTCAAACCGCGAAAAAGTAAATTACCTGAACAAATTTTAACACTTCCGAAAAACCAAAAAAAAAACAATCATCGCCAGCTATATAAGAGTCTGAACTACGTTCATCGAATTAGAAAAACAGTCATGGTCTCGGATTCGAACGATTGATCCTTCGCGACATAGCCCCGCTTTTTACCAACACACTACTGGACCCACATTTTTGAAAATTTCTTTCATTAATAAAGCAAGCTATCAAATGATTCTGTTAAAATAATTGTTAACTAGAAAAACAGACTATATTCCAGTTTGATAACGCTTGCTTATCGCAAGCGTAAGCATCCTTTTGAAAAGCTCATGTTCGACTCTAGATTTGTTTTACGCGAACGCGCAACAGAAACTGATCTAAAATTGCAAAGTTGATTAATTTCCTAATATTACATGTAAGTACTGTTATAACCAAGTTAAACCCCACTTTCTCTCATCTGAAGGAAGTTTTCAACAGCGATTTCCGACATAAAATTTTTTTTAACAATTGGTTTGACCAATTGATTTAAAAAATAGTTTGTTAAACTGATTTAACCAATAACTAATTGGATGAACCAATTTGGTTAAACACAGTTCATATCTAACCAATTATTATTGGCTCATATATAAGCTTTTCAGGAGTGTATTCTGAACCTAAGCAAGGCCAAGGAATCGTTTTAGTCCACGCCACCGCGAACCTTTACCCAGTCTTGCTCCATCGATCGATAATTAACAATTTGATTGATAACGTCCGACAAAATTCGCGAGCCCACTATGACTAAGAAATTGCATCATTTACGATAAGTTTGAGAGTAATTGTAATTCGTTTTATCACTGTTTAAAGGCAAAATTGGCCACACCGATTTGGTTAAATTTTTTAAAATTGGTTTATGATACTTGAAAATTACTTCAAAAAAATGTTGTCCAAATTTTATCCCTCTTGCTAAATGCTGTCTGACTATTACACTAGAATTTCTTATCTTTCAAATAAATTTTCTTTTTTCGGTTAACTCTTGCGTAAAACATAACAATACTTTGAGCAGTGTACCAAGCAACGAATTACATTCAATCAGATTTCAGTACACGAATACAAAAGCCACTTTCCCAAATTTTTCCAGATCAAGGCGGTTTCCCAGGTCCTAGTGGACAAATCCCATCGTAGAAAAAGCTCTCTCTAACCCTGCTTTATGTGAAATGAGTCAGTTTGAACAGTAGTAAATAAATAACACGACTGGTTACATAACGCTAAAAAACAGTGTTATTCACAGGATTGTTAATAACAATGCAACCCTGGTACTAAGTGTGTTGTTTTGCACAGAAATAAGCATGAGTTGGTATCTCGTATGTTTCACGCAGGAGTATGCGATCGGCATGAACAGACTGTTGGAGCATAGGAGGAGGAGTATATTTTCATCTGGTGATGATTGGGGTCCCTCCATCACCACCATGATCAACACCAAGATCAGAAGCAAGAGGTTCAAACAACTCATAGTGGGAGAGCCAGCCTCGCACACACCTAATGCCTCCAGGGAGTTCCGCAAGGCCCTCGACCGACACAACGCATTCGGTAACCAGTTCACTGGGAGAACCATTAAGGCCTATGATCTAACGAACAACAATAAGCAACATTAAAAATCAACAAACAAAAAAACATAGCCAACAGACAGAGGCAGTATTTGCCTTCCTTTCAGAAAATAAATTTGAACTGAACTTAAAAAAGTTGAAAGTCAAACCACAAAAGATCAAATTTGAGCGTGAACAACTTGTAAGTCTTTCTCCAGAAATAAAAAGAAAAACACAACTCGATCTAAGCAAGTTCACAACGTTCATTGCTTCTTAATAATCATTTAAATGACTCTGTATCTGTTTATCGATTTATACAATAATGTGCCGCCCGGCCAATAAGAGCAATTGTTTTTTTTAGATAGTCCGCGAAAGCTGAAGAAGAGTACTAGCAGAGACACAATTGATTCATCACGATCGAGGAATATTTCAAGATACCGAAGTATGAGTTTCACAATATTTTTTTTCAACGAATCATAATGCACCCGAAAAAGCATACAATTATACTCGTTAAAAAATAGCTTATTCAACCATTAAGTTCCAGATTCATTATCCTATTTTAGTGGGAAGCTTCAGTCCTCGAAGAACTCTTTTAAAAGTTCCGATGTCACCCGAGAAACAAAATCTTTCGAGTAAACCAAAGCAGAAAAGCGGAGGATTCGCCATTCAAGAAGTAGAACGTGCAAATTCGGATGCTTTTAAGACTGTCCCCGAAGATCCCAATCGGATGCAAGATCCAAACTCTCCCATGAAACACCGACTCAAACTTGCCGGTCAATTGTCCAAAATTAGAGTAAGCGACCATGCGGTGAAAGAAGACACTGAAACTTCCCAAGGAAAGACGAGGCAGGAATCGCCACATGGACAAAGAGGTGAGAACTGCAGCAACGGTGAATCTCCGAGAAGAGAATATCCGGACATCAACATGCGAGGTGTGAACAAGAATGTTCGCTTCAGGGGAGCAGGCCTGGGCAGCAGCAGAGCGGGATCGGAGACGGCAAGAAGATCTGCTAGAAGGGAATGGCAGGAAGGTATTATGAGAACCATAATAAACAGAAGAATTTTAATCAAAAGGGAGAAACCGCACAATTTGGAAACTGACCTGCTCCTTATGCCATTGCAATATTATCAAAACTTTGATTGTTATTAGAAGAAGTAAGCCCTGCAAGAAATGAGTTACATAATTGACAAAAAGATCTAAATATGCTTAAATACCCGTCGCGAAACGCAAATTTTGAATAATAGATATGCTACGAAAGCTTGCGACAGCGTTCAACTACAGAAAAAATACCATGATGCTAATGATTAGGATCTCGAACAAAAATGCGAGTAATTTCTGTTTCTGCTAGCCATGGATGATCTTTAACTGGAGTACCTGAGTGAAAACAAGTTCTGCATAGCTAATTCATGAACACCTTTTAATGGATTTTTGTTGTTGCAGGAATGCAGATGAGCTCTGCGAACTCTTCCTCGTCCTCCTATCGCACCAAATTCAGCTCAGAGTGGGAGAGTGTATTGCCCAGTAGGGGTCTGGAGGCACACAGGGCCCACGAGTTGGTGAACAAACTAAGTGCCATTCAAGCTGCTCAGAAAGTCCACATCAACATCATGGGTGAATATGAGTTATCTGGTCACATTCAGAGGCTAATTTCACTTACTTTATTCAGAGTTGGAGTTAAAAACAAATGCCCTTTCAAGAAAGCGAAATCTTTAACGCCAAACTAGCTACTCAGACTTCGAAAAATATATATTTTTTTAACTTAGTTCACATAATGAATCGGTTTGCGAAAAAGTCGTTTCATACAGTAAGTCGGTTGGCAAAACTAAGTTTGTTATGCAAGCTATTCAAGCGATGAAACTTTGATACATTTCAAGTTATATCACGGAACAAATCGTTTCGTCAAAAGCTGAAGTTTTTTAAGCAAGCGTATCATCAACCAATGAAAATTTCAAAGTTTTCAAGCTATTTCAAAAAGAATGGGTTCGCAAAAAGTTTACGTTATTTCGAGCAAATTATTCAAAAAACGAAACTTTGAAATACTTCATGTTAATTTTTCAAAAAATGAATCAGTTGACAAATTTAAGATAAATTGAGCAAAAACTTCAACGGCTGAAACCGCTCGCGAGTCGGTTTGCGAAAAAGTTAAGTTATTTTACGCAAGATTTCGCAACAAAAAAAATTGAAAAAATTCTAGTTATTTATAAGAGAACACCGGCTCGCGAAATGTTGAAGTTACTTAAAGCAAGCTACTCAGTCAAAGAGTTTTTGAAATATTTCAAGTTCTTTCGTAGAACGAATCAATTCGAAGAAAAAGTTGTTTTGAGCAAACCATTTAAGCAATGAAAGTTTGCAATGTTTCAAATCATTTCACTTAATCATTCGAGGAGATTTGAAATAATTTAAGTTCTTTTATAGAGCGAATCGATGTGCTAATCAAGCGATGAAACTTTGCGATAATTAAATGTTTTCATAGCAAATTGGTAAACGAAAAGGTCAAATTTTCTAGACAAAGAGACCCCTTTTTAGTGTACAAAATGTGGATCGGTACTGTGGCCTTGAAATTGAATCACGTTCAAAAAACTTCTAAGATATTCCAGACTTGAGAATGTTAAAAGATCTGGAGCTTCAAATTGAAAATTCTAGAAAACTCTAAATTCAGAACATTCTAGCCTTTCTGAAACGCTATGCTCAATGATCACTCTTAGAGGACATTCTAGCCTTTCTGAAACGTTATGCTCAATGATCACTCTTAAGCCATTGCGCTTTATGGTATCTAAAACATGGTATAAATTTTTCTGTCAATCATTTAATACATAAGATGTACCTCTATTGGTTTTATTTTTTTTGGACATCGAAACTTTAACATTTGTTAACAACAATTTAAGCCACCTGAAATATATGACCAGATGACATAATTTAGTTTAGCTAAAAATTTTTAGCTTAAATAATATATAATTATAAAACACTTATTTTTCAAAGAGCAGTTCAAGTGAGATACAATTTGAGACGTGAAAAAAAACTGACGCAGGATGATGAAAAATTGCAACACTTTTTTTACGTAATACTAAATTCGACAGTATCAATTAAATACCGTAAAATTAACATTCGTTGCTGCTTTGCTGACGCAAACAGACAACTTGTTTGACACTAACCACTAGTTTCACCTAATGGTGCAAATAGACAAATTTGTTGTCAAGAAATTGATAACACCGAGTGCAAGTGTTGATAGACTAGCATTTTTGCAACTGATGGAATTTTTAAATAACTGATGGAATTTTTAAATCAATCTGAAAAATCAGCCCGCTTTTAGAGAACCAGAAACATATAATAGGGCCGGTGTGGGCGAACTTTTCAACTTTTCTGTTATACGGTCCTAAATTGTCAAACTGCTGATTGAGCGTGTTTTAATGCAAATATTTCGCTCTTGTAGAATTCGGTTATGTTACAAAACATCGTCAACTGTTGTAGGTAAGCTGTTTCAAGAAGAAGAGGTTCGCAAACTACGTCTGGCCGTCACTAGGAACGACCTTCTCCAGTTCCCCTTCTATTTTATTTACACTTAGCGCATAAATATTCAGTGATGCCCACTTAAGAAAAAATATCTATGAAATAAAACAACTAACGGGAGTCGCACAAATTGTATTTTCTAAGTTTAAAAAAGCCAGCATTAATACTAATTACAGACAGCAATTTAGAATTTGAAATTCTAGGAAAAGGAAAATCACCTAAGAGTAATTCTAGAGTGAAATCTAGGGAGATAAAATTCTAGGGAAAAGTAATACGAGGGAAGAGTAATATTCCGAGGGTGATGGTGGTAGGGGAACTGGAAAAGATCCTTGTGTATTCTCACTGCCCATCAGGTACCCTCCAGCTGTGCTGAATGTACTAGAGAGAGCAGAGGAGCGGATGAGGAGGAGGAACATCGCGATTGACTTGAGTCTCGCTAAGATAGAAGAGATGCGGGAGAAGAGAGAGAAGGCGTTTAACAACCCCTCCCTCATGGAATGTTGGGCTCCCTCTAGAGTCCTCTACAGCAAGTCACTACTTCCACCCACTTAGAAATCGAATCGATTCCAATCCGTAACCGAAGAGGAAATTGTCCAGAAAAAACCTGAGATCGCTTTTAAACGCAACTCCGATCATTCAGATGTTACAAGATAGTATACAGAGCTGTAGTGGAAGTTTTACTGAGCTCACACAATTAAAATAAACAGTCAATTTATTCGAATTCAAAAAAAGACATTACAGCAAAAAGTCAGTTTAACTTCCAAAAACTCTCGTGCTTTCCATATTTATGAAAAATTCTACTCAATTCGCTTCAACATCTAGAGCGTCAAACTGAGCCTAAATATTCATTTGATCTAAAAAGAATTGAACCTTTGTTCACAGAGGCGAAGCAGAGCTTCGTGCCATTTGCGATAGAGACTGAAGCAGAAAAAAAACAAGAATAACCCGTTGCTGTATAAGATGCACAAAATGATCCAACCAATCCCTTCTTCAAAGGAAATGAATGAATAATACTTCGAGTAACATGCAACACTTTTTGCTCCAACTTGCGAAGAAAGTACGGAAAATTATTGCTTGGGCTGGTTTTTTATTCAGTAAAATTTCGAATTTTCATTTAAGCGTTTTTGACGGAAGATTTTTCATACCTTCTGAAACATATTGTTGTATCGAGATCAAATGTAAACATAGCCAGCTGACAGTTGCAAATAGTAATGGACGCTAGTAAACAAAACAAACACTGACTTTGTTGAAAAAATCTAACTTTCGAATTTCAAAGAAAAAATAGATACCCTTTAAGCTCTTTGAAATTTATGATTGGCGTTTTTTGATAACATTAACCCACTCTGAGAGAACTGGATCAATAGATAAAGTTTTTGATCCGCTGGAAATCTTAAAATTAAAATCCACATTCTAAACTAGAAATCATTCACTTTTTTGCGCCTTGTTCACGTTCGTATTTGGAGAATGCTATTTATGTCACTTTCAGCAAATGAAATTCAATTGATCTCAAAAAGTTCATACACACCTAAGTACATTCATAAATGAATTTATATGTATGATAGCACATCTGTAGTTATTAGAGCAATTCAAGTCTTTTTCCTGAAAAAAAAAACAAAAAAATCACCAAGACCTATAAAAGAGTCTTCAATACGTTCGCTACTATTTAAAAAATCACCTGTGATCTTTGTTCGTAAGTTATGGGCAGATTAAAAAGTTCTAAATCGAATTAGTGAGCTAATGCTGGAGATCAATGCTTGGTATATCCCAGATTTGTGGTGTATCCCAGATTTGGGACAACAGTTTTCGAGAGAAGTCGAAACATTTCACAAAAAACGGTCAAATTGTCAAAATCTTGCAATTTCTAGGGATGTAACTTTTTTCTACCAAAAAAAATGGTGCAGCCGCTCACTCAGGGGGATCCCCAAAACCAACTTTTTAAATTGTTTCTTATATCCCAGATTTAGGGCGGTAGTTTCTGAAAAACCGCAAAGATTCTCAAAAATGGTCAACATGTCTAAAAAAAAGTTCCTAATGATGCTTTAACCTTTCTTTTACAAAAAAAGGGCGTAGCCGCTTATACAGGGAAGATTCCCTCAATCATTTTTTTCATTGCAACTTTGAATTTCAAGAACAATTTATGATTTCTACAATTTGAGAAAACTGGATCATTAGGTAAAATTTACTCAGCTGAGAAATCAAAAAGCCACTTTCGAAATTAAAACTCAATCATTTTTTGTAAGCTTTACACTTTTACTTTTCGATAGCAGAGTTTGCCTTCCTTTCAACAAAAGAAAAAAGAGCCAACAACGAAACATCAAAAATGAGATCAAAAGAGCCAACAACGAAACATCAAAATGAGATCAAATGACTTTACATAACTTTTAGCAGATGAATTTGAATTGAACTCAAAAAGTACATACAAATAACTAAGTGCATTCATATATTCATGAATACTATGATGCACTTCTGTAGTTACTAGAACAGTTAAAGACTTTTTCCTGAAATAACTAAAAATCATCAATACCTAAATAAATGAAAATCACTTCGTTCTTTTACACTTGAAAAGGAATACAATTGAACTAACTCTTCTCTCTTCCTGGTGGCCTCTAGTCTCTCGCAGTCCTTCTGGGCCTGGAGGGCGGCTATCCTCTGCATGTGTCCCTCCCTCTTCGCCTGCATCTGTCCCATCCGAGTCTCCTTCCTCTGCTCCATCCGCCTCCGTCTCTCCTTCGCCGCCTCCTCTAATGCGCGAACTTCTTCTAGCTTACGCAGTCTGCCTTCCTAAATACATTCATACTTTTTACAACACAATTACACAACGGGTCTAAGGACTTTCATTAAAAAAATTGAATACTGTCAAACTTAAACTTTAGGTCAAACTTAAGAACAATCTCATAAATTATTGGAAGCATCGGCATCTGCCTGCGGTAAGACACAAGGTTATACCCTTTCAATGCTTGCTTACCCTGGGAACCAAAATCTGAATATACAAGGTATTGCACAACAAATCAAACATAGTAGCAGATGGCTGGAAAAATGCAAGAGAAGTCAAAGGAATCAAAAAAAGTTGATTGAAAATTTTGGACCCTTCAATTTTTGAAATTCGAGGAAAACGAGATAAGATCAAAACATTGAACGGGGGCCAACATTCCTATGGAAAAATGTTAAGGAATTCAAGGGAGACAAAAAATTTGGAAAGATAAACAGAGGCAAAGCAGAGCTTCGCACCACTTGCGATGCACTAAAAGGAGTAGCAAAACATTAAAGTTGAAAAAAACTAGGAGTACAAACGGTACAAACTTTACTAGCAACGGAACTTTACGAAGAGGAAACAAAGCCGACACTCTTTGAGCAGATTCAAGTTGATCCGAAAAAAATGATTCAATATAAACATCTTTTAAGTCCTACCAGAAAATACAATGAGCAATAGTTTATAAATACAATTAAAGTTGCTTACAAGCACAAGAAAAATCAGAACGTCTTCTTTAATTTCTTTAAATTACAGAACTGAAAAATTAGAATTCTTTAATTCTAAGTAATATCATACGATCGTGAAGCTCTTTGAAATTCAAGAACTATTTATAATTGACACTTTTTTGATAAAATTTAATAACTTGAGAAAACTTTGAGAAAACTGGATCAAAAGCTGGTGAATTTTTTGTTCTACTGCGAATTCAGTCCACGTTTTAACCAATTTATTCACTTTTTTGTGACCCTTAAACATCTGCTGGTCGAGAGTGGAGTTTGCCTTTGTGTTAACAAAGAAAATGAATTGAAAAAAAAATCAAAAGTCAAATCGCCAATTTACAATTATAATTGGGAGCAAGAGAAAGCGAACTGCTAATTTAAACCAATATGGTGGCGTTGTATAAAGCGTGTCTAAAATCATAAGTCTATAATCAGCTCATCATAAATTTGATGAGCAAAGATGAGTGCTAATTTTAGTATAATTTGTTTAAAATTGACTTTAAGTACAAATTTTCTCCAAAAATCGATCCAAAAAATGTATCAATGCTAGCATTTTTCTTAAACAACGATTTCCCTGAGGTATCGGTTGCAAAAGATTTAGAAGAAATTAAGTTTGTCATTACTGAGGTCACTGGTACCATAGACACACTTTTCATAAATTTACCAAATCAACTTAAGCGAAAAATTCGTTACTCGTGATTAATAATACAAAAAAAACATCACAAGAGCTAAGCCAGCATTTCAGGTAAGCGAAGATATAGTTCGTTCTCTCAGTATAAACTTGTGACTTTTGAAAAAACGGAAAAAATTATGGACTTTATGGATAAGCAGAGTGCAAAACGGAAACGAAAAGAAAATAAAGCAGGCGAAGCAAACACTAGCCAGAAAAGACAAAAAGCAGCTCTTAAAACTGGCATGAGAAAAAGGAGAAATAAGCCTCGAAGTATTAAAAAAAACCGACTAAGTCTCGGATGTGATCTGCGACCTAGAGATTTTTAGTCTCACGCGCTAACCACTCAGCCAGGCACGCTTAATACATCACAAACACTAGCCACAAATAAAGCAGCGAACAGATGCTATGATCCTTTCTGTAACACTACGCTGATCGCTAATTTAACAGAGGCGAATTGCACTTCGCATACACAAGCAAAAATATGACCGATAACGCTATTGAGAAAAACTGAATGAGAAAAAAACTTTGTGTACAAAATTTTTGAAGTGACGCACGCCAATTATGAGTCTACGTAACTGCTAAGTGACGCAAGCCAATTATGACGCATTATCAGTCAATTTGAAAAAGGAAATTTACCAACTAACATGCCTCAATTTATAGAGTGGACGCATTTTAACTAGTATACGAAAAAGTTCATTAAAAACATCTGACCCTGACTCCTCTAAATTGAATTTTTTGACAGATGTACACAGAGGCAAATCCAACTACCCAAACACAAGCAAAAAAAAATAGCGAAAGGGAGCTTTAGAAAAGCAAAAAACATCAAAACAGACCACCGACTTCGCGATTCGAACTGCTGCAATACGTAAAATGAATCATACGTCTTATTGACTGAGCCAACAGTTTTATACAGATTACACATTATCCAATAGTAAAAACCAGGCGCTCTAATAAAGTAAATAAAACATGCTGCGAAATCGCTTGCAAATGGAATGGAGCAAAAAAGTTGAGCACTATTTTGTGCGAGTTAAGGTGGCTTGTGGAACAAACATACGCATAAGTGTTCTGGATGAGTTAATAAAAAACCACAAAAAATAAAATGTTTGAGTAAAAAGTGAACATCGGTATTGAAACGTTTAGAAATATAGAGAATCAGAAAGGCGACACATCTGAGTTCAAGATGAGGGTGAATTTAAAACCCATATTAAAAAGGCTTAATTAAGATTAAATCAGTGATTAGTCAGTGGTTAGTACCTCCATCTCCTGTTTCCTGGCCTCGAACACCTCGTGCTTGCTCCTCATTTCTGCCCTCTTATTCTGTGCCTCCAAGGTCATGATGAATGCGATCTCATTCACCTTGTTCTCCTCTTCATGTGCCTTCTTCACTATCTTTCTTAGGTGCGCCTTCCGCTTGTTCTCGGCTAATTCCAACTTCTGCTCGTAGGCACTCTTTTTCCGGTCCAGGATCTCGTTCTTCCAACGACGCACTTCCTGGATCTAAAAAAAAGCGAAAACCATAACCTGGCCACTTAGATCAGAAGCTTACAGTATGGCCATTTAGAACAGCAAACGATAACAGAATAAACCATATCACCTCTAATCTAATTGAGTGACTTTTATGTTTAATTGAATGACTTTAATCTTTATGTAAAAACAAAAAACCAACCAGAAACAAGATCAGACAAATAAAGGTTTGAGCTGACTGAAATTCTGGTCCGGCCACTGGAAGTGGAGAAGAACTTTGTATTCGGGTGTTTTAGTTTTTTTCGACTTTTTATTTTGCACGCAAAATCAGGTACGCCAATTGGCTCTTGCAGCGATTCGAAGCCTATTTAAAAATTTCCAAAAAATTAGTGTACAGACAAATAATTTAAAAAGCGTTTGATTTTTTGTCCAATTTTGAGCAAATAAGGCGAGCGAGCAGGATTATATTAAGCAAATAAGACTACTTAAAACTTAGTTTTATTCCAGGAAAATTAGTTTTTGAAGGTGTTTCTAATGATTTCTTGAAATCGGTAAAAAAAAAAACTAAAAAAATATATTTTTTGATTAACTTCGTTGTTAAAAATGCGTATTCTACTCTTACTATCGAATGAACGTATTTTCTAGGCTTTCTTTCAGATCCGCTCATAGCCAAACGAACAAAAAAAAGATTGAAATTTGCAAATATTACGCTCAAATACTGTTCAGAGTTGCTCATAGCCGAACGAACAAAAACATAACAATTTGCAAAAAATATGTTTTTTTTTGTGATCGGACCTTGTGCTCTTAGGCTATTTGCACCGCAAACAGCTATAATTGGTCATAATCATCTTTGTTCATAACTTTATACGACAAAATTTCAAATCTAACTTGTACTTTTAGCCCCCATTAACTTAACACATGTAGAATAATAATGTATAAAAGAAAGCGAATGTCCTGGAATCCATAAAATTAAAGTTTTAAGTCATCAGATTCCGCACGAGACGAAAACAACCCTCCCTTTGATAATTACTTGAGATCCATTATCCTCAATGGAAAGGTCCAACACACGGGCTGCTCGGTTCTTTAAAGAGAACCGAATGCGCCCCTGTTTCAAACCTAGTGCGTTTTTTGGGCTAATAAATGTTGTCTAACCCTCATGCAACGAGCACGAATCAAGGGGACCTAGAACCATTGACCTTTCGACTGATAGCTGGAGACCTTAGCCGTTTCATCATCACTCCTTTTAATTTTTAAACGCTTTGGACACTTACTCTGAGAGCGAGGTTCCTTTGCTTCAACATTGTGTCCTCCAGCGCCTTGGCTCTCAGCTCCTGAGCTTTCCTCTGTTTTTCTTCGTGACGCAACTTCTTCTCTGCCCACGAACTAAAAAGACGTAATCGTTGTCTTTGAAAAATGCCGCTAGAAACCCAGACCTCGAAAAACCCCGCTCAAAAACATGACATGTAAAATTGCAACGAAAGAGTGAAAAGCACCTCTACGTTCATAAAAGGGCAAAACAAAAATTTGAAGTGACGCTAGTTTATTCATCGTTGGCATAAAAATGGAACGCACATTTCTGAAAAATCAATATTATTTTATCAAAAGAGCACACGCAGTTCTATAATTTTAGTTCGAATCATCGCCTTCTTTATTCGCTATAGATTTGAGTTCGGCTCTTCCCTATCCCTTTCCCCCAGCTTAAAAAACCTCAAGTTTATTAAGTAACCAGTCGCTTTACCAGGTTGCGCATTCGGGCCAAATGTGCTTCAACTATGATAGTTAGCCCTCGAAATTAATTTTCATTGCCATCAGACAGGAGGACGAAAAAATAGCTGAAATTTTTTTCTTGGCTCTTCAGTCCAATTTGAAATTGATAAAAAATTTTACGCTGCTGATTGATTAATGAAGACCCTGTTATTGCTCGACTTGCCTGGTGCGAGATGGGGACGACAGCCTCTCGTGTATGATGAGGGCCCGACTGGGATCCCTGCCTGTTAAGTTGAACATGCGTCTGTCTTCCTCCTCCTTCTCAACCAGGTCAGCCCAACTTCCAACTTCCTCCTCACCCTCACCCTCTTCCTCTTTCATCCCATTCGAACCTAGGAAAAAAAAGAGTTGTCTGATTGTCTGCTCTAAAAACAATCTTCCCAATCTCTCCTTTAGCACCTCTTCAAATGTTTTTTTTTTCATACCATATAAGAGTTCTTACAGCAAATATGGAAGCAAAAGTTCATATGCAGAATTTTACAAGAAAGAGTTTTTTCTGTAGATATTACAGTAAATTCTAAAAAAATGACTCATCAAATAAAACAAATATTAATAAATATACGTTCTAGTGAATCAAGGCTTTGATAATCTGCGGAACAGATATACCAATTGCAAGTTATCGCATAAAACAAAGGGTTTGCCGCTTCCTTGCATGGGTTTGTCATACAAAACTTGGCTTTGCATATTTATCGCACCTATTTAAAATGTCTTCTATCTAACCTGTTTGATTATCTGTTTGTTGCGATGCACAATTCCTAACTCCAATTTCTCTACCGTGAAGCTCGTCATCGGAAGAAGAAGCATCTAAATTCAAAGTCATATTGTTCATATTATAGTAATCAACGTAAAGAGAGTGTTAACAACAAATGAAATGATCATTTTTATTATTTTCTCGAAGTTTTCCAATTTTTGAGCTTTCTGCAGTTATCGTAGGTAGCAGAATAAAAAAGATAAAGTAAATTACTTGAGTAATAATAGCTTGACTAAGCGGAGAGACATAAAGCACAGATGCGAACGGGAGCGTCGCACTACTTACGCTATATCACAAAAAAAATCATGAGAAGCTAGCATGTGTAAAATGAGAAGAAAACCAATACACCAAAAAATTATTTGTGGGACTCGACGAATGAATTTTAATTTTAAAAAATAAACTAACACAATTACCAGCGTTATATTAGCATTCGGGCGAAATATGTCTGAGAAACATAACCAACAGACAGTTGGAAAACTGTCAATGACCACAAGTAAGCAGAAAAAAACTGCATTTCGAAAAAATAGATGGCCTCAAGGCTCTTTGATTTTCTGGAAAAATTTAAGAATTAAATTTCAAGCAATTTGAGAAAAATGGATCCATAGGTAAATTTCTCATTTCACTGTGAAATCTAAAAACTACAATCCACTATCGATACTAGAAGTCGGGCACGTTTTCGATGACCTTTACTCTTTTGCTGCTCGATAATAGAGTTTGTCTTACTTTTAACAAAGGAAATGAACTGAGCTTAAAAAGAAATCAAAGTCAAACCGAGCCTTAACAAATTGAGCCTAAACAAATTTCAAGACTATTCCTGAAAAAAAAATACAAAAAATCATCACGACTTATTTAAGAGTCCAAACTACGATCATCGACTTTTAATTAGCAATTAAGCTTTAAACTCTACATAGCCCAGCCCCGAAGCACAAGCCCGTTTAACAATTTATTATCATCCTCCAAATGACGAAAAATCAGACGTCTATAACATCGGCCAAAACTAATTAGGCCGAATAGAACTTCCATGCTACAAAAAATAAAATAAAGAAAACTACAAAATCGGAGTTATTGAATTAACAAATAAAAGAAAAAAAAACAAAATAAAAAGCTAAGCAGACAGATAACAAACTGACTAAGAGAAACTGTAAAGAATAAAGTAAAAGCAAACAGTAATTTAACTTGAATTTTTAAGAAGTTGAGCGTAACAGCAGGTTATTATAGCGCATGTGTTTGTCACCTATGATTCAAATTCCTCTGCTGAACACAATCTTAATCTGAAGTCTTCATTCCGATTTAATAACGCTTGCTAATCGCAAGCGTAATCAGATTGGTGTGTATCAAAATCTGTATCGATTATCGCAGCTCCCCCTGTAGACTTGTTTGAAATCGGAAATACTCGTGTTCTCGACATCCAAAAACTTTCAGAACTTAGATTGCGTGCAATAAAGAAAGAACCTACAAAGTATTTCTATCACATGCCGTGCATTCGCCCTACAACAGATTTGAAAACGTCGACTTGCGCAAACATTTCAACCCTTGCAGTGTGTTGGCCATTTAGCAAATCAAAATCTTAAACACGTGCTAAGTGAAATTTCTTAAGCATTACAATATACGATACAGCTTAAACGTGCAAAAAATCTTTCGTTAAACATGCAAAAAATAATACATTCAAAAAGATTAAACATGTTAACATAGCGACTTCTTAAATAGGTCAATATAAACACTTCTTAAGCATGTCTCAAGTGAAATGCCAAATAAATAAGGTATAGATAGAAGTGAGCAGAGTGAAAATTTTGAAGACCTTGGAACTTTCCCAAAATTATAACCTTTCTCTACCAAAAAGTTTAGGAGTAGCCGCTTCAACAGAAAAAATTTGCCCAACTGCTTCTTCCGATTGAAACTTTCATCTCAGATTTCATAGGGTAGTTTTTAAGAAAAGACAAAATATTTCTAAAAAACGGTCATAAGTTCAAAAACGTGACTTTCCGAAATCCATAACTTTTTTTTGCAAAACTTAGGTCGTAGCCACTCAAGCAGAGAAGATAACCAAAACAGGGTTTCTCGATTGAAAACTAAACCTGAGAATTGGTATAGTAGTTACCGAGAAAAATCAAAGTTTCCAAAACCAGCCAAAGTTTCAGAACTGACATTTTTGAAGGCCACAACTTATATTTAAAAAAAATAGGAGTGGCCACTTACGCAGGTAGGCTTTCAAAACACGGAGTTTTGATTAATTTCTTGATATCAGAACTGTCACGATACTTATCGAGAGTAAACAAAAAGTTTCCAAAAACCGGTGAACAAATCAAAATTTCGATTTTTCCGAAAATAAGAGCTTTTTGTTCAAAAAAATTTGGCTACGCTAATGCACAAGAAATTCGCACAATTTGTTTTTTTATTGAAACCAAAAACTCAGACTTGTGAGGGTGTTTTTCGAGAACAAACAAAAAAACTCCAATAATATTGGGCAAATACTCCCACACAGACATTTTCGAAGGCTGTAGACAGTGGTAAAGAAAAGAGACTAGGAAATTACGCTGGCACACAGGGGAAGACAAAAAAGATCCGCAAAAAAAAGATTTTATGAAAACTTTAACAAGTTTTAATAAATCCTCTCTGATTCAACAATGAAACCTTGCAACCACAATGATGCTTGCTCAAAAGACAAGTAAAATACCTGATGTGGCACCTAATCCGACAAAACTAGAGCAGACAAACGAAAGTCCGACAATCTAAATTTTATCGGGGGAAAACATTACAATTTCATACAAACTGCAAAAAAAGATCCTGCCGGGATCGAACTTCAAGCCTTTAGATGCAAAATCAATCGCGTTATCTCCAGGCCAAGTGGAAAGGAACCTGGAAGCTGTTAACATTGTTCAAAAGCAAGTTCAATTTTTTGTTAAAAAAATGCTGTTCACCGAAAAAAGTCTAGGATGCAAAAGCAGTCCCGTTACCTCCATAATAATTGGCATTAAAAAAATTTGGGCGTAGCCTCTAATACAACGGGGTTTTTACAACCCGTTCTATCCATTGAAACCAAATTCTATGATTTGTCATTTGGGAGGATATTTTTTTGAAAAAATATGGGTCAAATATTCCCCGCACAGACATTTTCGCAGGCTGTAGACAGTGGCGTAAAAAACAGAATATGGGATTAAACAGGTAAACAGGGGAACAGCCGATCTTTCCGTTAAAATCCCTTTTTGAAAATCGGTAGAGTAATAGCTTTTGAGAAAAGCTAAAAATTATGCAGAAGTGAAAATAATTCTGAAACGTCTCTAAAAATCATAATAAAAAATCCAATCCCATAAATTCTCATAATCACTGCTTATATCAAACGGGAATTCTAGGCACACATGCTAGGAAAGCTATTTGAATTTTAAATTAGCAACGGAGCAAAACTCACGCAGCCGACCGTCTTTCAGCAGACACCAGTAGAGCCGAAAAAACTGATTTTACAAAACCTTTCCAAAGTTTTAAATCCCCCTTGCAACTACTGTGCTACTTGCTCACAAGAAAAGTTAAATCCCTGATGTGGCACCTAATTTGACAAAACTAGAGCAGACAAACGAAGTCCGACAATCTAACTTTTATCTGGAAAAATTTCAATTTCATACAAACTGTAATAAAAAAGATCCTGTCGGGACTCGAAACCCAGACCTTTAGATGCAAAAGCAATCCCATTACCTCCATAACAATTGGTATATAAAAAAAATTTGGCCGTAGCCTCTAATGCAACGGTGTTTTCTCATTACAAAAAAAATAGCAAAAAAGAAAAAAACGAACTAAACAGGAAGTTTGAAAAATCCTCTGATCTGCCCCTATTTTTTGTTGCTAGGATGGGGATTATCATGGTTCATTCCCGATTGTTTTAAGTAAGCACTTTTATCTGAACAAATCGAAAAAAAAAAGCAAAAACCAAAAATCTTATAATTTTGTCTGGAATGATGTTCTGGGAAGAAAAACGTCGAGGAACACAATGGCCGGCTTTAAAAAGTTTTCAGAAACATGAAAATCTATCGAGCGGCAATAAGTTCAACAAAAATTAGGTAAACTCATTAGGTAAACTCCGATGGATCCGACAGCAAAAATGATGTAATGAAAAACTTTTTGAAATTTCTGAGCTTCGAATCCCACCCTTCGGAAACACAAAAAGAAAAAATCTTTCTTACTTCTAATTTTTTTTTACTTCAAACAGCTCATAATTGAGCCACTATAAGATAAACCAAAGCCATTCAGGCAAACAAAAGTCTTATTCAAACAGGCAGTTGGAAAACATCAGATTAAGTAAAATTACAAAAATTAAATATAAAAAACATTCAATTACAAGGAAAATTGATAACGGCACAAAAAAAAACGTGATGTGCGGACAAAAAAGTCAAAAAGTAGGCCGACAGTTTTTTGGAAACGCAACATTTCACATTTGAAAAAAACTGAACCTGGCTAGATTCGAACCTGAAACCTTGTCAACCCAGGCGTAGTCGTTACTTTTAGGTCAAGTGAGCCGATGAAACCAAGAAATTTGATAAATCTGATAAATTTGATAAACTTTTTTAATAAATCAGGCTATCACTAACTCAATCAATTTTGTTAAGCTAGCTAATAACGTGAAAAAAGCCTATACACAGAGGCGAGCTGAGCTTTGCACCATTTGCGATACTACAAGTATAGAATTGAAACAGCAAGGCACTAAAGAACTATCAAAGAAGACTTCGAACGTTGTGTTGTTATCGTTGAAGAAATAACTTTATAAAAAAAAGAACAGGTTTTTTTATGTTTAAATATATTAAAATCTTTTACAGAGTTTCAAGTGGAAAAAACACATGTACTGTTAAAATAGTATCCACGAAAGCCATATATGTACTGAAATCAAGATGTTATACTAATTTGCAAACTAAATTTGAGATTATTCAAACGCTATTTAGACAAAATTGATCTTAAAGTATACTAGAGTAAGGCAGAAAATTGTTTTTATTCAAAACTCTAGTTTTAATCATATTTTGACAAAACACTTTTATATCGTAGCAAAACTGCTTAAAAATTGAAAAAAAAAATGTGAACTTAGGATCACAAAATTGAACCGGACCAAAATGCAGTTGTAAAAGCGTTAAAAACTCCAGGCACGTCAAAAAAATTCACTTTGTTCATTAACACTTCAAAAATTTCATAAAACTTACCCAATTTGAAAAAAACTGTATCAGTTTTTCAAAATGAAAAAAAAATAACTTTTTTCGTGCCACTTGCACTCGCAATTGGAGAGCGTAGATTGCCTTCCGTTAAGAAAACTGATTATATTAACTCAGATTTGACCAGATCACTTCGTTCATCAACGCTGAAAAAAACGATTTCATTTTCCTCGAAAACCCAACACGAATTAAAAAAGTGATAAATCACTTTATTCAACAACACTGAAAAATCAATTTCATGGTTTCGAATCTAAAATCAATGTTAACTCTCACAAAAAAATTAATTAATCAAGCAAGCTGTTTTAGCTTTGAAGTGAGATTTGGAGCATCTAAATAGTTTGCTTAAGACCGAAAAAAGTGAGTTGTCGTATACCTTTTCCAAAAAAAATGTGTTACGCTCATGTATTGCAGTTGCATGTATTGCAAAAAAATAGATTAGATTCATCGAGTACCTTTTATAACCTTCTCTCGATATAAAAAAGGGTAGAATGTTTACAAGATACATGAATTCATAACTCATTATCTTCTTCCTAGATTTACACCTATAGGAGGGAGGAGGCTTAGAAATACTGCACTTTTTGGGGTCTTTTGGCGTCGCACTAGTGTTTTTCTACTAAAAAAAATAATCGCACAAGGCGCATTTCATCCAGTGCAATGGTGTTAGAAGGAATCTCGATACAGCACCACATCTCTTTGTAGTTCTTTTTAGGGTTAGTTAGTGATCTGTTCTCTCTGAACGATTTTCTGCATAAATCATCTCTAAACTCTGCATAAATTATGTCCAAACTCGCGATTTTCCGTTATGAGGTATGAGGAAGAACAATTGAGTTCAGAATAATTAACTTGTTCACCATGCAAAGTTTTCTACATTGTGACAACGTTTGAATAGTTTTTCAAAACTGAAATTCAAATGGGGGGAGTGGCATAGAGCCCAATTCCTACCATTTTCCACGCCATCTTCGTCCTCGCCTTCTCCCGGTTGTGTGAGTGCAGCCATTGGGACATCCTGAAGAGACATGTCTTCCAACTGGTGCACCAGTTGGCTCTCTTCCTCCTCACACTGTTCCAGTGCACGCTCGAAGCACTCCCGCAACTCACTCTCCAATTCACTCTCATCCTCATCGTCGTCCTAGGAAGAAAAATATTCTAATGAAAGGAACAAAAACCCGCACTAAAACATTCAAGAGAGTCGAGGAGTGAGCAATATAGTCAAGAGCCCGCACTATTTTAGAACAGTCACGTTTGGTGGAACGGGTAAAAAATGTGGAGTTTTGACAAGTGTTCTGAAGATGCAGCGCGCTATTGAAAAACTCGACGAGCTCACCGAAAAATTTGCTTGCCGTTTTTTAAACGCGAGCCTTGTCTTCAAAATTCAAATTTCATGTATAAGTTACTTCGTGTATAAGTTATTTCGTGTACAAAAGTTTTTTTGTTCCGACCATTTGAAAGGAGAGGAACTTTGTATTCGGGCGTTTTAGTTTTTCTCTTTTTTTTTCGTTTTTTGTTTTCCACACAAAATCAGGTACCACAAATAATCATCGGAATGAGTTGTGTGATATTTCATATAAAATCCCTTTCAATCCTGGTCCGAAGTTGTCTCAGTGTCAAGAAAAACAGGTTTGAGCATTTTGAATTTTAGTGTAATTTCGAGCGATCAAAGCAAGCAAGCAAGCAAGCAGGCTGATTATAAAAGAAAAAGCCATGAAACTTTGAAGTGTTTAGCGCAAAAAAAATTCAAAACAATTTCTGCAAAAAAACTGAAAAAAACTGAAAAATAAAAGAACTTTGAATTTTTTGAATTATGTTTTTGGTTATTGATTTTTCCGGCAAAACCTGTTGCCCATTTTACTGTGACTGTCAAATAAATTTAAATTTCAGGTTTTCTTCAGATCCTTACATCACACCCCGCACAAAAACAACACTAATTTTTAAAAAAGGGTCGAAATATTCTGTGTTAGACAACCGGCCAGGGGCGGATTTAAGGGGGGGGGCGGACACCCCTCCTCAGGGATTCGATACCCTGCCGACCGGCTATCCTTGTTTCAACTTTTTTAAGTGAATCTTATATTCCCAATTTTGGATGAACAAACAATAGTGCTGATTTAAATTATCCGGACAAAACGAACAAAACTTGAATTTTCAAACGCATTTTTCTCAAATTGGGTTAAGATTAGACAAAAAGTGACGAGAATAAAAGTTACGTAGAATTTCATCAGAATTAATATGGTGCAAATTTTTTTCCGAAATTCTCAACCAAAATGTTACCCCAAAAATGGGTCATTTTGGCTTTTTACAATTAATCAAAAATTACGCTGAAACTACTTTGTTAATTGATAGGAAAATTATTTCACAAGAAGCCTCTTACACATCATAACAAAGCTTGAGAAGGATTAAGGATTAAATCTCCGAAAATTTGCGCAAATTGTTTAAAAATTGTTTTTAAACAGAAAATTCTAATTTTAAATAGTAAAACTCACATTTATTGACTATCAAGTAAAAAATTTTTCTCTTAAACTGGTTTTTGGAGATTTAACCCTGCTTAAGCTTTGTTGGGCTGTGTAAGAGGTTTCTTGTGACATAATTTTCTTATCAATTAACAAAGTAGTTTCAGCGTAACTTTTGATTAATTGAAAAAAAAGCCAAAATGACCCATTTTTGGGGTAAAAATTGGTTGAGAATTTCGGGAAAAAAATTGCACCATATTAATTCTGATGAAATTCTAAGTAACTTTTGTTATCGTCTTTTTTTGTCTAATCTTAACCCAATTTGAGAAAAACGCGTTTGAAAATTCAAGTTTTGTTCGTTTTGTCCGGATAATTTAAATCAGCACTATCTACAACTATATATTGGAAATAAATGTTATAAAAAGAACTCCCACCCCCTGTCAAAAAATGTATGTATCTTAATTTATATGAGCGCATATTACCTCTTCATCGTCTTCATCTTCTTCGTCGACCGAAAACTCTTCGTCCAATTGGCCTGCACCAGATTCTCCTAAGTGAGAGTTTATAGCAATGTCTTCAGAACCGTTCTCGAATATAGCTTCTTCCCCGGAAGTCTGAAAACATACCCAAACATCATTAAGTTAATTGTCACCTGCATATTAACGGCACTAGACTGGATTGATGAGAAAAATAATCCAAATCTAAAAAGCTGCTTCCAACTTTGACAAATTGATTAAAAAAACTAAGCCAATCTCGCACAATGAATAACAAAGTATCTGTAAATACCTCCAAGTTCAACACCTAAATCCGCTCAAATATCACTCAAAAAGCTAAATCCACTAATTTGAATATAGCCTACGGACAGTTGGAAAAAATTCAAGGATTGCAGGAAAACAGAAAAAAACTGACTTTGAAAACAAAAAACATTTGGCCTTGAACCTCATTGATTTCAAGACCAATTTATGATTGAATCATTTTGAAAAACTTGGATCAAGGGGTTAAGTTTTTATTCTGCTTAAAAATCTTAAAAATTAAAACCCACTTTCAATACTGGAAATAGCGCAATTTTTTCGCGCCATTTCCACGTTCGTATTTGAGGAGCGCAAACTACCTAACTTTTGAATTGAACTCGGAAAGTGCATATATACCTGAATGCATTGATCTGTAATTATTAAAGCATTTGAAGACTCTTTCCTGAAAAAAAATCACCAAGACCTATATACGAGTCTTCACTACGTTCAGTGACCCTTAAAACAGCTTTTAACTCGAAACCACCTTTTACTTGGAGTCATTACAGTCATTTTACGCTACATAATCCTGATGTATATACGAGACAGAAAAAATCACTCAAATTACATAACCAAAAACATACCAAAGATTTGCTTCGCTCGCTCAATTTCATACGAAAGTGCTAGACTAAAGCCTAGGCAGCAAAGAAAGTTGCTAACAAAAAAGGACGACCAAACCTTGCAAAAACGTGCAATAAAAGAAATCATTTGAAACTCCGAAACATAGCCAATAGACAGTTGGAAAAAAGTCAATGAACGAAAAGAGACAGAAAAAATACTTAATTTTTTTAAAGAAAAACTCAAATTTCGAACTTGAGTATACATTCGCTTCAAGCTTTTCCGATTTCAATGTATCATTGACACTTTAAATGTATCATTGACGGGAACAATTTATCATTGACGCTTTCTGGATAAAAAATAACCTACATTCAGTTATTTTAATTTCCGATGGCAAATTTGAAATTTAAACTCCACCACTATTGCAACTAGATGTCATTCACGCTTTACGTGATCTTTACACTTTTCTTTTCGACAGTGAAGTTTGTCTTCCTATTCACAAAAGGAACTGAACTAAATTTTAAAAGAAGTCACGACTCACACCGCAAAAAATTACAATTGCGCGTGATGAAACTTTAGGACTGCAAATCTGTAACTATAAGAGCATTTAAAAAAATGCATTAAAAAAACAATCATTCTGACCTATACAAGTGTCTTCACTACGCTCATTAACCTTGAAAAACATATCATCGAACACAATATTGCAAGATAATGGCTCCTGAACGCTTACTATATGCTTATTGCTCGTACTTATTCGCGAATTGTCCGTGGTTAATCGCGAAACTGGTTTCACTAAAAATCAGACATTTTTTTGACACTTTTTTGGAAAACCTTGTAAGAAGAGAAAGATACGATTGCACTGGTTTATCTGATAAAAAGTAAGCAGAGTAAAATCCTTCAAACACTAATTTTTCTCACGGAAAATCTCAACATTTTAGACAAAACAGTCCACATCTCAACCGTAAGGTTGAGACGTGAGCAGCCAAAAGTATTGACAGAATGGAGTTACTTCAACGAGAATTAAATTTACGAACTTATTGCAAACATAGCTAACAGAGAGTTGAAAAATTGGCATTGCATTTAAGTTAAACAGAAGAAATGACTCTCTAAAATACAATCATATTTTATAATCATCATTTTTTTTCACAAAACTAGCCTAATTTTAAAAAGCACTGAATAAATGGGTTAATTATTAATACCGCTTGGGAACCTAAAATTTAAATCCACTCACGAACCTATGAGTCGATCACGCACTTACGCGCCAATTCTACTTTCTTAATTTGAAAGCGTAATATGCCTTCCTTTCAACAAATTAATTTGAGGCAAAACTCAAAAGAAATCAGAAGTAAAACACAAAAACCGCCAATGCGGCATGATCAAATTCCAAAAAAAATATTCGTGAACTTTTTCGTGTCTTCACAAAGTTCATTAATTCTTAAAAACATAGCTGAGAGACAGTTTGAAAGAGTCAATGAAAGAAGGAAACGAAAGAAAGCTGATTAATCTTTCTTAGAAATTTCGAACTTCACAGTAAAACATAGCCAACAGACAGTTCGAAAAAAAACATCAGCAAAAATTAAAACATGAACAAAACGAATCAACTTAAATGCTTCGAATTTCAAAGAAAAAAAACAAATGGCCTTAAAGCTCTTATAACTTCAAGATTTGACAAAAAAATGTATCAAAAGGTAAAGTTTTCATTCCGCTGCGAAATGGGAAAATTAGACACCACATTGAGCAGGAACTCGATCAGGTTATTCGTGATCTTTACTCTTTTGCGGTTCAATAGAGGAGTTTGACTTCCTTTTACATTAACTTAAGAAATCAAAAGTCAAACCGGAAAATCAATTTTGAACGTGAACAAATTTTAAGACTTTTCCTGAAAAAATCCAACTTAATAGCCTTCACGACGTTCATCGACTCTGAAAAATGAAAATATAGCCAACAAACAGTTGGAATGGAGTCAATGAAAGCAAGTAAACAGAAAAAACACTACAAAAAAACCTTAGCTTTCGAATTTCAAAGAAAAAAGATGAACAGGACAAACACTAGCAAGAACAGGACAAAAAAGCGGCTCTACAAAGTGCAATAAGAAGAAGTAGAAATAAGCCTCGAGTTAGCAAATTCGTCAGAGATTCAATTCTGCAACCTAGAGATTAAGAGTCTCAGCCACGGAAGCTTAATAGGTAATAGTCAAACACTAGTCACAAATAAAACACAGAACAGATGCTATGAAATTTCCAATGCTACAGTGAAATTTCTAAATAAGTGAACTTTTTTAAAGAACACTTTTATTTGGGAGTTAGGTTAGACAAAAAAAGGTTTGTAATAATACACTAAGCTGACGCTAGTGTAAAAAAAACTATTTAAGAAAACTGGATCAATCAGAAAAATTTTCATTTCGCTGAGAAATCTGAAAATTAATTTCCACTTTTGAAACTAGAAGTCGATCACGTTTTTCCTGAACTTTACTCTTAGAAAGAAATCAAAATTAAAAGCGCAAAAAATTAAATTTGAGCCTGACCAAATTTGAAAATCAACTGTATTTTGAAATTCAAGACGAAACTGGTGGTGGTGTACAGAAAACTATAACACGTGCACATTATTTTTGAGGTCTGAATTTCCTAGATTTTGTGAGAGAAGTTGTTTCATAGAAAACCTAAATCTCAATTACAAAACACTTGTTCTCGCAAGTATAGTTACTGAAACATATTACAGAAAATTTTTGAACCCAAATGCCGGTTAATAAATTACTGTGAATGCTTTTGATTATAAATTTAGCCTACTTGTTGTGCTAAAGTTAAACTTTAATAAGATTATACTAATAGTTAATACTTAACAAGATAAAATTTTCAAGACAGATTTGTCACGTGCTAATGATTCAGATGAACTACGGAGTATTCTTTAGTAGTCGCAACACAACAAACTCACCTTACTCAAAACCAAATCTTCCCTTTCTCTGTTGTTTTTAAGCCCTCCGTCGTCTTCTCCGATCGCAGAATCAGGAGACAACTCCACTTTTGACCCCATCGTATCAATTTCTGCAGGTCTCACTGGTGACCTAATACCGACAGGAGAAACAACAGACGCTGCCTTGCAATCAGTACCTGTTGTCATCACTGTTGCTGTATCTGATTTCGGACTGAGTCTGTGGTGTTGTGGTCTAATACTCTTATGCTTGCTCAGTTTGCTGTACTTTTCCCATCCACTGTCACATTCACTGTCTTCGCCCTCTAAATGCGATGAGTTACCTGAAATCATTTCTACTTATGTGAAAACATAACCACTTCCGTAAAAAATTTATACTCGATGACTACTTATAACTGAACAGACAAAACAAATTTTCTGGCTTGAAAGTGTTCAATCTCAAATTAATGCGAATAACTTGTTAGAAACAACCTTACTACAGGCGAAATAAAAATTAATCTCAAACTAATTCGCCTCTCAAACTGTTAAATCTCAATCTAATTCGATTGAGATCGAATTTTTGGTTTAAATCAACAATATTATACGTGAAATAAATATTCATTTAGGCACTTAATCAAAGACGTGATATAAAATTGTCTTCATTATTTCACAAGACTTGCCTTTTAGCGTGTCATTGTTTTCTGCCACGCCATTTTTCCTTTTCATTGCATCCAAGAAACTCTTCCCAGAATCGTTAGTTTCACGTCCTTTTGTTTCTCCCGCTCCTAAAACCTCACTAGGGGAAGGAGCAGAAGGAGTAGCCCCTTTCACTCTGTCGGCCCACGACATGAACACGAGTTGTCGCACTGACCCGTTGTTGTCGACTATAGAAGCGCCACCCGCTGGCATCTTCATCGGAGAGGACGTCTTGCGCACTTCCCACGAGATGGAGAGGGGCCTGAACAATTTCCAAAATTCACTCTTCCAATTAATAGTGAAAATTTTTAGTCGGTTAGCCAGAGGCATAGGCCGGAGATCAATTATGCAAGATAACCTGAGCTCTGAGCTATTACTTACGTACCAAAATCTCTTGCGATTTGAACCCTCAATCATATTCACTGCCAATGCGCGACAACGCCACAATTCCCAAATATAGCAAAAAAAAACGAAAGTGTCCATGAACTCAAAGAAACCGAAAAAAACGAAAAATTTTCAACTACTGAAGTAAAAAAAAATACATCAGGTTAAGGCTCTTTCAATTTCAAAAATCTTCCATCATTGGCACATTTTTCACACAAACCGAAGCAGAGCATCGCATTACTTGCGATGCAGCACAAAAATCGCACAGCAATTAGCCGAAAAAATGGACGAAATCCAGTCAAAAATAGAATGACAAAAAATAACCCAGAGGCGAAGCGAGACAACGCAAACATTGCATAATAAATTAGCAGTCAGAAAATGAGACAAAGCCGCTAAGTCAAAAAAAAATCTGAAAATGTCGAAAAATCTAGATCCTTAACATTTTCAGATCTTTGTCTTGAATAATTTTCAATTTCAAAAAACAAGTCAAACAATACAATTGACAATTACAGTTCCATCGAAACGAAGCGGTAACAAAGCCAATAAATTTTGAGCAGACACCTGTTGAGCAAAAAATTATTTCATATAAAAAACTTTCAAAACTATTGAATTACCCCCCTCAAAAGTTACAAACGCATAGAAAACTTGTTTCGCTCATCCAACAATTCAATGATGCCACTAAACCCATTACGTTTAACCCGAAAAAAAACCTTTCAGCCAACTAACAAAACAAGTATTTGAAAGAACGGTTATTTGAAAAGCAAACATGCCCAAACTGCTGATTTGAAAAAAATTATTCAATGATTTTGTTGGATAATGATAAGAATCAGTCTATGTTCCGGATAACGCTTGCTAATGCTAATCGCGACCACAATTATCAAACACTATAACTCCGTATACATTTATGAACGGGTCGAAAAAATTATTTAGGATTTTTTTAATTTCAAAAAACATAATTAAAATTCCGCACAAAACCTAGTAACTCAAATATCTCTACCGATAAGGCTTTAGAAATAGCCGTCATGAACCTTCAAAGAAAGCTGAACGTTCAACACGAGCCCGTACTACGGTAAATTAGTCGACAAAATAAGCAGACGGGCAGACATCCGAAAAGGCAGAAAACTTCTCGTTTGAAAAAAGGTCTCCACTAGATTCCAACTGCAAGACTTTGTTGTTACACGCAAGTGTGTTACCTCTAGGCAAATTCGCTGGATGGTCGGTTGATTTTGAATTTATTAAGAAGCAAGATGGAATATCTGCCAAATCTTGTGAACAAAAATGTTTACGGGAGAAAAAAGTCTAGTACGCAGTTGCAACACTATTTCTTATCACATGGGTGGAGAATATCGATTGTTTTTCTTGCAAAGACCAACTTGCAAAGAGATACTGAGAAACACAATTTATCAAACGGTCACTAATCAGACACATAGGCGAAGCGGAGCTTCCCACCCCTTGGGATACAACAATTATAGGATGATTGCACCGTGATGCTGAAACATTAGCAGGCAGAACTTCCAAATATTTTACAAATGAAGAAGGAAGTAGAAAAACGAGAAAAAAATGAAAGCAATTATTTAAGTTTTTCAAGAGGTCCTAGTGGCGTTGAAATACGGCCTTCCAAAAACTGGTACAAGAGTCTTATGGAGCTCAAAAGTACTACCGGATGTTTCATATAACGCCCAGATAGGATCCACGATAGCTATATAAAAAGCGTAACAAAGTATATTACATAATTTGGAAATTAAACCGACTGTGCTTAAGTCGACGACCATAAAGCCGAAAAACAATCAGTGGAAAATTAATATCAGAACTTATATTATATATACAATGGTTTGAGTTCTAGACATAGCATGGGCAGTAACTAGTACCCGGTAGTTAAATTGCATTCCCATGATATTGAGCATGTCAGCAGCATAATTCAACTGATTTTGTTAAACTTGTAGTTAACCCAAAAAAAAACTGGATTCCGATTTTTCAAAGCTTGCTAAGCGCAAGCGTAACAATACTTGGGTGGACAATCAACGAGTTTTGCGAACAATATTTCCTGTTAACAGATTTACAGCAGGCAAAACGATTCAAGTCGAAGAAACTTTCAATATAGGGAAAAAAATCGGCCACAAGTTCCATCAGAATAGATGTTAACTGAACCCCAAAATATTCAAGTTATTTTTTCAAAATCACTTGTTAACCTGAAAAAAAATCTATACTCTGATTTCGTAATGCTTGCTAGTTGCAGGCGTAAGCAAACTAACTGAATTAAAGAAAAGACATAGACGATAGCGGAATAGGAAAAATTGCTATCTTAAAGTCTACTTTCGAAGCTGGAAGCTTTCCTAATTGGAGAGCGTTTTTTTTTCTTTAAACGAATGAACTTGAATTGAACACAAACTGCTAAGTCAAACCGCAAAAATCCTGATTACGACGTGAAGACATTTTAGACTTTTCCAGAAAAACCAAAAAAGTAATCACGACCTAATTTAGTGTTTTTACATTCCTTATGACACCTTAATTGAATAAATTGCAACAGGCACTTAGCCAGTGGTGCTTCAAATACTCATCAGAATGAAAATCCGTCAAAACAACTGATTCCAATTTTTTGTTTCCTAGGTCAATTCAAATATAAATGGCAGCTCGTTAACGTTTGAAAAATACTTGCTATTGACACAGCAAATAATGGTTTAAAAATTTTTTTAGGAAGTTTTGCAAATCTTAAAATAATTTGCCGGCATTGAAACTAAATCGATAACCAGAAAACGAAATCAAATTAAATCCCAGCAAAAACAGCAAACAAAAAAAACTGCAAAAGTGCCAATGTGTAAGCTTATTACTTATCGAATATCAAAGCACATGCTACCAAATATCGCTAATGTACCCCAAAAGTGGCACCAATATTTGCCTCTTAGGTTGTAAAAAGTAGTCATACTATTACACTACGCTCGCTAAGACGCGCAGCGCAACTGTATAAAATAATCACGATTATGACACTTAAACATTTGGTAGCGCTATAACAATGAAAATCGTAATTAAGCATATTAAGCCCTTCTCAATCCCTGTTTCCTTGAATAAAAAAACGAACCAAAACCACACGCTTAAATAAGTGTGTTCACTTCATTCACTGACACTATATAAACACTTATGAGTGTTTGCTCATTAAGACACCGTCTCAGAGGTCTTATGACATTCCTCCATATTTCAAGATTCCAAACATCCATACTCCATGTATTAATTCTAGTGATTTACGAAGTGATCGCATGGAAACTAAATAATTAAATAAACTCACTTCTGCTGGGCCTTGTCGAAATGCTCTTGAATTTTAATCTTATCCATCAGGTTGTCGAAGTCCTTGATGTAATTGTTGAAGATCAGCTTCATCTCCTAAACCACAACAATAAAACATCGTTTTTAAATGACTGACATATTTTAACTGATTGAAGCATCACATGAGAACATTTAACGAAATTTGATTAATTTCAACGTCATGTCTCAGCTAGGCCAAAAATAGCAACTGCTCACTGATTCAATACCTAATTATAATTTAATCTAGGAACCGATAAATTTTCAAAAGTAACAAAAAAAAAACAACAGGGCAATGGTATTTAAAATTTAATCGCAATTTTCTCCCGGACAGCTAAAAGGGGGATTCTCATCCCAGAAGGACCAAATTCACCGATTTTAAATTAGCCAATCTGAATTTGATACTCAGAAGTTCGAAAGAAACAAGATTGAAAAGAGTCCAACTTTGGACACTTTGAACTAGCGAGAACACGAAAAAAGCAGCTCCATAAAGTGCACTAAGAATAAGTAGTAATCAGCCTCGAATTAGCAAAAAAAATCAGCTACGTCTAAGATTCTTAGACTAAAAAAAAGAAGGTTCGTAACAATACACTTAGATGATGCTAGTCTAATGACATTGATAGGGATAAATTTGCCAAGCTATCGGTCCTGCTGTTATGCGGATACCTACAACTAAAGTGTTGTCTACTTGGACTCACATTGGCTTGTTGGATGCTTTCGTTTTGGTCACACACAGAGTAAAGTGCGTCGACTGCTCTGTCCAGATTGTCAATCAAGAATGTCCAGAACAGAGTTTTGTCATCCATTGGAGTCGTGGTGGTTGCAGATCTACTATTGGCATTTGTGGTGGTTCCACTGCCTTTTCTTGGCGGTCCTCCTAAACGCATGGCTGATATATCATTCATAGTCTATTAGCTTGTAAAACACCAATAAAACTGTTCAGTGGCCAAAAGTGTGCAGATATATTAGGTCTGAAAGTTTGAAGTTATCAATAAAACAAGCCTGCGCGAAAGAAAGACATCAGTTAAGGAATGCTCGAATCACAACAGTGACACAGAAGGAAGCAGTTTTTTTTACCATTGACTCAAAAATTGATGGTAAAAACCAAGAAAACGAAATTTACTATTTTTAAATGAAAACGAGCATGAAGCTATGACAACGGCGCTAAAACTGGACAAACGAAACAGCTTCTTCCACAATTTCAAAAAAAAAAATCACTTTGTAAAACGATGATAAAAATCAGGTTTCAAAGCGAGTAAATTGAACAGTTTGAGGATGTTCAACTTGGCAACTATCTCTCAACAGCATTGGACAAATCGTTGCCCTATTTATACTATTTGTATAAATTCGAAGACCAGCAACGACAAACCTTTGTCAAAATTTGAAATTTAGAAATTCACTGACTTTTACCTCTATAAACAAAAGTTACCTCTATTGAGATAAAACTCGCAAAAGGTAGGAATTTTACAACACAAAATGAAAGAAGAAAGGCTTAAAAGTTTCTGCTTTCCATGAACATCTGACATTTTTCCTCTCTCGGCATGTCAACTTTTCCCATAAAACTTTCACGTTCCTGGATTGCACATGTTAGAACGTTTTGCTTCAAGCGAGAGTTCTTATACAAACATAGGGATTTTTTCACTGGGGATGTGGCGACTCGGAATTCAACCCGATTGTAAAAAACCGTATATTATAGAGCCAAACTAAAAGAAGGCCGAGTCAATTTTGGAGACCCCGAGAGCAATTTGAGCGTAGCTTATTGGGGAAGCCTTCAAGATGACGGTGGCAATTAGACAAGCCTTTAAGATGACAGTGGCGACTAAAGGACAAAGATTCATCGAACAAATGCCAGCTACTATAAGACCTTGCGATACCACTGCACCTAATTTTCTCAGTCAGGGAGTATAACTTTCTAATCCACGACTCTGGGCCTGAAGAAAAAATAGAAGCGATGGAGAGCAGCACGACTAGGCAAGCGAGTTTCTTAATTATACGCCAAGCTCTTCTACCAAGTACATAACAAGCATTATGCAGTAAATGATCAATAAGTTCCAACGGTTTACTTTCTTTTGAACCAAAAAAGGCAGAGCAAACTCTACGAGACTTTGAAGAGCTGAAACAGTCAAACTTCTGCCATTCCATTGAGCCTTCCAAGGTGCTGCTAATATTAAAGGCTGCTTTTTCCACTTAGCGCCAGCTCTTGGAGAAAAATTCAGGAGCTCAGTTCAGCCTCTCCTTATAGGTCTCACTAAGCACTTTGACTAGAAATAAAAATCCTACAACGCGCTGGCACTTATCCCGCAACGTGATTTGTAGCTGGGGTTCAAATGCTTGAAAGATCTTTTGGGCGAAATTTCTATGTAGAATATTTTGAAAAGATATGGATTGTTCCAACAACTCGCAAAAAAACGCCAAGCAGCTTTCTTTTTCTTCTTCTTCTCGCACCCAAAGATCCACAAATTCCTTGAATTTATTAGACGAGAACAAAGCTTGGCCGAGAAACAGCTCGTAAAATTGAAATCCAGAGACATAGAATCAAGGACAAAGGAAGATGAGAAAGTGCAGTTAAGATTGTCTGCCATACTGAAAAACAATCAGAACAACATAATTTGCAAAATAGTGCAGGGACTAGCTTTTAACTCAGATTTCTTCATTTCATTCTGTTAATTAAGCTTTCTGTTTCGTTTAACTGTTCACACAATTATGGACGGCTTGCAAATAGAAAAAAACCTTTCGGTAACACAAATACAGCTTTTACTAGCAAACTGAATACGCTTTTACTATTTATCCAATCAGTGAGTAGACGAAGCACTTCTGAAGCCGGCAACCGAAAAAAAGTCCTTGTCATCAAAAAACTTTGAGCGATTAAGTTTTAAAACTTTGAACATTTGTAATCAATCGACGTGAATTAATTTCTTCAAAAATTTGCCCTCATAACGACGCAAAATAAGTGATTGGGCAGATAAAACTTAATCCGAAAACATTGTAGGCCGAAGGAAACTTTCAAGTGGAGAAAAAAAAGGAAATATGCGAAGCCAGGACCAGTAAACTTTGAATTACTGGAGAAAATCAACAGTTCTTGCAATTACAGAGAAAAGTGCTTCAAGCGCAAAAAAAATCCTGATGTGCCAACTAAGCCGACAAAACATAAGCAGACAAGCAATAGGCCGATAACGCAACTTTTCAGAAAAAAATCGATTTCTTATATACTGAAAAAAAAACTTGAACCCAAAACCATAGGACGCCAAGGCAACTTCATTACTCCAGTTTAGGTGTGAAGGATACTGGAAGATTTAAGAGTTCACTAATAGAGCAAGCTCATTTTGTAAGACATTTGTAAGAAAAGTATTGTAAGAGGAAAAAATCTTACGGGAAAAAGTCTAAAAATCAAACAAAACATTGAATCTCGCTTGATACAAATAGTCGCTTTTTACCAACTAGGGCATTTTAGACAATAACAAATTTTCGCCTGTAACGATGGTCGCTCAACCGTTTTTATATAATTATCACACGCATTTATTATCCCAAAATAGCCAAATTAGTAATTTTCAAATCGCCATAACTTTAGTAAAAAAGATCACATATCTTTTTAGTTTTAGGCAAAAACACTAGTACCGTTCAGATTATATAACAAATCCAGTCAAAAATCGAATTTTGTCTGGCGAAAAAAAACACCCGAGCACAAACTTTCTATCACTTTAATCGAAAGTCGGAACGAAAATACTACCTTTAGCACAAACGGCAATTCGAAATTTAGGCTAAGCATAGAGCCCAATTTGATTCTTGTTTTTATCCACAATAAATATTATCATATTTCACTTACTAACAAAAAAATCTATGAATTCCAAAAGCATATTTCCTTTTTCTCTTCGGCGCTGAAAATTTAACTAGTCAGTAAATATTCAAAGTTTCAATACCGAAGAGAAAAAGGAAATACTATTTTAGGAATTCATAGTTTTCTGTTAGTAAGTGAAATAGGATAATACTTATTGTCTATCCAAGCCTTACCTGATTCGCTTCTTAGGGGGAGACTTTCCTTTCTTCGAGCGAATCTGCTGCGAACAAGAGATGAGGAGCAATAGTCGGAATCTCCATTCTGTTTCACAGGAGTCTTCGCTCTACCACCTTCGTCTAAATTATGAATGAAAAACATCCTGCCTGCTGCAATTCTAATTCTTAGCACATCCCCAAAAATAATTCATTCATTACAATCCATAAATTAAAAAATTATATCGAATGGTATATATCAAGACCTAGTGAAATAAGTTTCGGCTTATAGTAGAGAAAACCAAAATTGGACTGAACGTCAGTATTAAAACTTTGTTTTAACAAAAGTTTTATTTTTTGATTTAAATATTGCTCCATCTTTACTCTCTATTCATCGCTTCAAGTTTTAGTTTTTCAAATAAATACAATCACACTATAAGTTCGTCTAAACTGAATTTGTTCTTGCTATCTTTTTACTCGATAAAAATGTTCTCCTTCAATTAACAAACAAACACATTTTCCCACCTCTCGTTCCTTGTGCGTTTGACGTGGCGACGTTCAACTGTTCTTGATGTTCAAAGGGTACATTCCAAGAAATGAGGTTGCGAGCTGATCTGCCCTCCTTTCGAAGCAGAGTCTGAATCTGTTTCTGCTGCTGTGTGTTATTGTGACTGCTATGGTTGTTGTTGTTGTTCTCGCTCCTGTTTCCTCCTGTCTTCACTTTCTCCCTGTTTGACATTATACCATCTGCAACATAAACGGTAGTTGATGGCTTTTGATTAACATAGAGGTGAACAGAAGTTTCGCAACACTTGTGACACATCACAAACATAGTATTGCAAGCTAGCCGATGGAAAACGAGATGAAAGTCACAGAGACGAAAACTCTGAATTCTAAAAGAATTTCAATGAGTTTGCCTTGAATGAAATTCATTTTGAGGCAAACAATTCAAGAAGAGCAATCTCCAGCATTTTATTTGTATTAAAAAGCTAACTATAGTTGGGAGTACCCCTTGAGCTCAAAAATGCTTTCACTGACCCACCCCCCCCCCCCCCCCACACACACACACACACGCACACACACAAAAATAGGAAAAAATAGAAAACTTTTACCGAACTTTTATCATACCAATTTAGATCCCAAAAAAAACACAAGTCGGGATGCCAAAATTATCTATGAGGTAATTTTTTGTTTAAATTTTTCGAGAATCTTCCCCCACACACTAAAAAAAGAAACCTCGAACAAAATTCCCTTTTAGCAGTATTCATTAGATCATATAGCTCACATTAATTTAGATTTGAATGATTTCTGAGCTGGATTGATTCGCCACTCAGGTATTAATCAGAATCAGTGTATCGGGTGTCAATTATCCCAAGTTTGCAACTTTTAAAGACCCGAGATACATTTTGGGTGCGTTAACGCATTAATGAGAGGAAATTGCCTTCCTCAGTTCCATCTGGAATTCTTTATTTTGTCGCTTACGCTTTAATAAGGTGAAAAAGATCGCGCTTTGATAATCCTCGTTGGAACTATAGTCTTAAATTTAAACCACATAACTTTGCAAAAAAAAACAATTGCAGATTAAAATATCTTTCTCAATTTGAGCTCAAGACACCGACATCTTTCCGACTAAATAACAATTCCATCAATGACTTCTAGTTAAAAATCAAAATATGTCTGAAGAAAAGCCACGCCAAAAATGTTCGTTCACTTTCTTCGGAAGTCGTCACAATTAATTGATTTCATTCCTTAATATTCTAAACAAGTTTAGAAAAAAGTGTTATAAAATAGCAATGATTATTTCAACTCGCCAAATAACAAGCAATTAGTCGGGAGGATTCCTTTAGCCTCATTTCAGCTCCATATTTAAACACATAGCCAATAGACAGTTGGAAAAGAGTCAATGAACGCAAGTAAACAGAAAAAAAACTGACCTGGTTTTCGAAAAAACTTCAATTTTTCAAATTCAAAAATACATAGCTAACAGACAGTTGAAAAAGAATCGATTAACGCAAGTGAACAGAAATATAGCCACCAAACAATTGGAAAAGAGTCAATGAACGCAAATTTCTCTCAAATTTCGAAACTCAAAGAAACAAAACGATGCCCTCACAGCGCTTCGAATTTCTGGAACAATTTATGATTGGCACGTTTTGGATGAAATTGAACCAATTCTAGAAAACTGGATCAATAGATAAATTTTTATTTCGCTGGGAAATCTGAAAATTAGATTCTGCTTTCGAAATTAGATGTTGATCACATTTTTCGTGAACTTTACACTTTCGCTGTTCGATAGTGGAGTTTAACTTCCTTTTAACAAAGGAAATGAACTGCACTTAAAAGAAATCAATAGTCAAACCGCGAAAGAATGAACTTGAGCTTGAAAATTTGTATGAATGCCTGAAAAAAAAATCATCGTGACCTATATAAGAGTCTGCACTATGTTTATCGACTCGAAAAAACGGACTCGTCTTTTTTTCAAAAAGATCTCAGCCTTCAATTTTCGAATTTCAGAGAAAAAAAGCTAGATAGCCTTCGAGCTTTCTGAATTGCTAGAACAATTTATTATTGACACTTTTGATAAAATCAATCCAATTAGATAACACTTGATCAAACGATAACTTTTTTATGCTGTTGGAGAATCCACATCCGAAACTAGCATGCTATCACGTTTTTCGTGACATTTAAAATTTTTCTGTTCGATAGTGGAGTTTGTCTTCCTTTTAACAAAGAAAAGGAACTGAACTTTAAAAAGAATCAAAAATCCAATTGCGAAAAATTTAACTTTTCCTGAAAAAAAAATCCTCTAAAAGAAATCATCGGATATATCACCCACCACATTTGATTTATACTGGCGATACCAGACTTAGTGTGGAACGAAAACACAACGGATTTCTATGTTAATGATCACATCCTAATTTGAGTTTAAAAGTGCCACGTAATTTGAGTTCAAAAGTACCACCGATTCATCTAAAGAACACCAGATATTTGGCCAACCTTAGTATGAGGTAAAGTTCCCGAAAAATTCAAGATTTCAAAGTAAAAAAATCTGAAAATCAAATTTCCTTGAAATATTTTTACTGCATATTTTCATTGTAAAAACTTTTCATGTTTTCAAAAACTTTCGGCCTCGCTTGACGAAATTTCAAAAAAAAATCTGGCAAATAAAAATTCGGTAGAAATCAGTAGTGGACAAACTCAATTTTCCTTTCGAGCTTTGGCTATACTTTCAGAAAACTTTACAGCAAGTCTACACAAGCCACATGATTTATATGGAACTTTTTTAAGAAAAAAATTGCCGTGGTTCTTGCGTATTATCAACAGCACTTGCACTATTTAACGAGGGATTTAAACTTCAGCAGGGGCGGATTCAGGGGGGGGGGGGGGGCGGACGCCTGCTTTTCAGGGATTCAACCCCCTCACTAACAAAAAGGTCCCCCCTTTGGTATTAATTTATGACTATTCATTTTAGGCCGACAAATCCTAAAATTCTTCTTAGTGCTTTCGACGCAAATATACGCTAATTATGAAGGCTAAGACGCGCCGATAAAAAACTTAATTTTTTGTTCAGAATCTTCCAAAAAAAACCTAAAAACATTTTTGACGTTTTTTTTTCAAACATTTGCCTAAAAATCTGCCCATCCCCCCTCGAGAAAATCCTAGATCTTCCCCTGAACTTGAGCTGAGTTCAGAGAGGCCCATTATTAATTGACAGTCAGAAAAAATGAGCAAAGGAGATTGATTACTAAGTTACCTTCAGTTCAGATCGACGCCAATAAATTGTTTTTCATTCAAGAAAAAAAACGAGAAACCACTCAGAACTTATTTCATTAACACCTGACCAAGTTTTAGAAGTAAAAACTGATCCATTAGAAAAAAAACGACCCGGTAACTGATCTGCCAGAAAATAAGTCGAAGAACTATTGACAAACAACTAGAAGTACATTGGATCGGTTTGCATACAATAGTCAAAAAGTCTACAAAAGAATTCATGCGGGATTAAATTATCAAATTGAGTTAAAAGCGGATTTAGAAAAATATTTCACCGGAAAGAAAATCCGACATAAATTGAGGTACATAAGATGCATATAAAGATACATAAATGGAATTCCTGCTGAGATTCGAAAACCATTTCTTCGTCGTACAAACTAAATGCTTTACCTCGAGACTAACCAAGCGGCAATTTACAATTCCTGATTTTGAGCATTCTGTGAACAAAACTTTTAAGGAGAAAAGCCCAGTACGCGATTCCAATTTCGTTGCTCATCAAACAACTGATAACACAGAGGCGAAGCGGAGCAAGCTCAGCATTACAATAAGACGGAAAAAAGACGGAAATAACAAAATAAAAAAAATGGGAGAAAATGAAAGTATTTCAAAAAAAAAACAGCCGAAAAACACAACCACCAAAATTCAACAAGCCTTTATATACAAGCCGCTATATACCGAGCGGCCACTAAGCCGATAAAAAATGGGTAGACACCCATTGGGACGAAAACAAAAAAAAACACCAAAAAAATTGTTGTCAAAAAAAATAGAGCAATTAAGTTTTAAAATCTTGCAACACAAACTTCATGAATTTTTCAAAAAATATATCATTTTTTTTGCACTTGATACACAAAATAACGTAACTAAGCCGATCAAACAGAAACCGAAATCATTCAGGTCAAGACAACTGATAGTCCGATAAAACAAATTTCACCGAAAAAATGTCTGTTTCATACATACTGGAAAATACAAGGTCTAGCCGGGACTCAAACCTAATACCTTAGGGTACACAGGCAACCGCATTACCTCTAGGCCAAGTGAGAACGAGCCTGGAAGTTGCCAAGGTTCTACAAAAAAGCTAGTAAGAAAATCAAGTAAGATTTGTAAGACAAGTTGTTTACGGGGAAAAAAGTCTAGTTTTCGATTTCAAGACATTTGCTGTCTGGCAAGTGAAAATATATGGAAAAAAACAGATGCATTGAAATTTTTTTATTTTATTTTTGCATTGACCTAAGGTTCTTTTGGATATTTTTGTTAGTTCTTCAAATGGTTAGCAGCTTTGAGATATCACAACCTATATTTGGTAACTAATCTAGAAAAAATCTAGTTCCCAGAAAATAAAAAAAAATACGTTTACTTAAATCATCTATTTTAGCGAACAATGAAACAATAAATCTTGAAGACTTCATTTCTAATTTTCAACATAAAATTTACTTTGTACAATTAACGATTTACATATATATTTACACTTTTTCTTTCGTAGCTTTTTGAAAAGCCTAAGAAAAAATTAGAGTTGAATTAGTTGACTTGTCGTGATAATTTGACGGACACTCTTTCACGTGACATATTATCTTATCTTATTGTTCAATTTGGTCCAGCAATCTTGCTCTTATAGGCCAGACTGAATTCTCGTCCAAAATAACCCTTCTTGCTTTCTTGTAAAACGAAGTGTACTCCTCAGGCGATGCTATCTCTTTTGAATTGAGCAGGAAACCCAGGAGGTCCTGTGAGACTATGGCTTCTGGTTTCTTCTCTTGAATTGACTCCAGTTCTTTCGAAGCTGCTATCTGAGACAGTCCGGACAGATGTCTGCCGATCACTCCCAGCTGAGATAGAACCTAAAAAAGACGACCTTTATCAGGCTTAGAAATTTCAGAAAGCACCTGGAGACGAATTAGTACAATAAAAACCAGAACCAACAGATGATTGGACAAAAACTCGGGAAACCAAAAAAAAAAACAATGAAAGTATAACATTTTTGAAAAATGCATATCATGTTAAAGCTCTTTAAAATTCAAGAACCTTTTTTTCGTTACGCGCCTATTTCATTAAGCAATCCCAAAACTGAGAAAACTGGATGAATAGGTAAGTTTTTTATTCCGCTTGAAATTTTGAAAAAGAAAACCCATTTTTGAAACTTAACCTCGTGTTTGCACGCCATACACGTGTTTGCACGCCATACACGTGTTTGCACGCCATTAATGTTTTTTGAATTCACATCGTATTTTTTTAGCAATGAACTCGAACTTAAAACTAAATCAAAAGAAACCGCTAATTTGAGCGTGAACAAAACGAAGAACTTTTTTTCAGAAAAAAAAACAAAAAAATCACCAAGACCTATAAAAGAGTAGTCACTACACGACAAGTCATCACTCTAACTAAAAAACTGATTCAGGTTTTGGCAGAGCGTTCAAAAAACTAAGCAACTCTCGCACATAGAACAATTTCTCATACATTGTTTTTTGAATAGAAAGCGTACTTTTGCTTCCTTTTAGCAAATGAACTTGAATTGAACAAAAAAACCAAAAGAAACCATGAAAATTCCAAATTAAGCATGAACAAATTTTACACAGAGGTTAAGTTGCACTGTAGCGTAGAGTTAGGGAAGGAGACCCGCAACAAAATAAGAGTGTTCGAACATGGGCAGGGTCGGGTTTTTTAATGTACGTTTTCGTGTATTAGCTAAATTGCGTCCAAATTGAGGCATGTTAATTGATAATTCTTTTTTTTTCAAAATTGACTGGTATTGTTGATGCGTCATAACTGGCTTGCATCACTTAGCAATTATCTAGACTCGTTTAAGCCAACTTGGGACAATTAACGCGCGATATATTTTGCGCTAAAAACGCGTAAGCGGAGATTTAAACCGGCTTAGAAATCGCTCCAAATTGGTTGAAGTATGCTTGTTTGCCATATTTGAGTTGTTACTAGGAGCGAAACCTATCACTTCGAATTTTATATGGCGTGCGGGGGGAGGGGTGATTTTCCCAAAAAATCTCAATTTCAATATATATATATATATATATTTTTTTTTTCTTCATTTCATTTTCTTAAATTTTTTTTCAAATTGTTACTGGTCCATAGACCTTAAAAGGCAGTCGGGACATTCAGGGCTTCGCCCTGATACGAGCAGTCTTATCAATTTTTGAGTTTCATTCATGTGAAAACAAGCAAAGGCAATCTGACTTGGTATCAAATGAATAATCTTCCATTCTTAATTCTTGATATAAAAGTATATTTCAAAAGATTTTTCTCAGGGTCAAGAAAATTTAGTTAAAGGATTTTTGGCAATTCAAACTAATTTGGTAGTATAGAGATCAAAGGAGCAATGAGAAAACCGATTTATAATTTTGCTATTGATAAGACCAATTTTAAGTAACAATTAACGCGCGCAAAAATTAGACCAAATTTCCACACAGAGGCGAAGCTGTACTTCACATACACAAGCAAAAATATGAACTATAACGCTACTGGGAAAAATTGGATGAGTAAAACTTTGGGTCTACAAAATTTTCTAAGTGACGCACGCCAATTATGAGTCTACATAGTTGCTAAGTGACGCAAGCCAATTATGACGCATTAGCAGTACCAGTCAATGTGAAAAAAAAGAAATCTACCAAGTAACCTGCTTCAATTTTTAGAGCGGACGCAATTTAGCTAGTATACGAAAACGTCCATTAAAAAACCTGGCCCTGCCCAGGTTCGAACACTCTTATTTTGTAGCGGGTCTCCTTCCCTAACTCTACGCTACAGATCCCTGATACCTTGAAGCTACAGTGCTATTTGTATCATAATAGTCTGTGTTAATATCCTTAGCATTGGCTGTTTTTAATAGCTGGTTATTGATCAAATTGAATACTTTCAAAATGAACACATTTTGTCGCAACAATATTTGCGACTTAGGTTGGAAAAAAAAGAGTTCATACTATAACACAAGCTTTGCTTGTGTAGACTTAAAAACAGCAAAAACACAGCAAGACCTTAGGAAGTAAAAATCACTTTAATTCGCGACACTTAAAAAGGAAAAAGGTAAAACTAATTAAAATCCTGATATGTACTGGAATAGAACCCCCGACTTCGAGATTAAGAGTCCTAGCATCCACACCATGGAGCTTCTTTTTCATAAAATGTGGTTTCAATAAGGCTACTACATTAAATTTCCGGATGTAAGCGTTATTGAACGTCAAAACAACGTCAATTTTCATTGCTATATAACACTAAATATAGGAGAACTGCTAAACTCGCCAACTTAAAACAGTATCAATCCTTAAGATATCCTCTGGAATTTTAACTCAAGTCGACTAGTTTTGAATAAAATGTTATGAGCCTTAATACTTTTTGTCTATCCGCTGGGTAGCTGTGCTAAGTGCGTCTGATTTGGTACTATGTTACTTGCTGATTAGTAAACTATGAAATATTACTTGCTTATTTGTAAGCCATGAAAATTGAACAAACCTCTCCAACTAGAATTTCGATGGGCTCAGGTGAACTGTAATCACCCTCCACTCTGGGAGCGACCAAGTTCAAATTCTTCTTGTGCAGCATCTTGTAGTGCCTCTGCACATTAGATGAGACCACCAACAATTTCACTTTGCTCATGTAGTCTTCGTATTTTGTTGGATTTGAGAAGAAGTTTATAATGTATTGAATAGACTCATAAGCACCTAAATACAACTATGCTTTTTACTTTCTGGGTGTTATTCTGGAGGCAACGTTCTCATGGTTAAGGTTTAAAATCTTGTAATGTCTTTTCAATTAATATTTTCTCAAAAACATTTCCTCAAACATGCTAAACACTGATTTTTGACTAACATATTTCAAGAAAAAAGGAGTAGACGTTTGCTTGTGTAAAGAAAAAAGTAACTCCACCAGAATTTCCATTATGATCTTCTTTTGAAACTTTAAATCTTTATGAAAAAATGCTTTCGAAAAAATCAATTCACATTCTGGCCCGCAGCAACAGTATAACTATCAATTATTTTTGAATATTCAGTTGTTTTAGAATCAATCATTCGATATTCAATCATCGGATATATTCGCCATTCAGTTATTGGGCATACTAGACATGCAGTCATTGGCCTTACAAGTATTGTCGCTTCATAGAGTAGAGATCAAATTAAATCTTAACAATTATCGCTCCATTGCTCTCCTAATCAGCTGCGGTAAAATTTTTGAAAAAGCCATGAGTTCAAGAATGTACAATTATTTTAAATATTTCAACTTGTTATAACCTAAGCTATTTGGTTGCCGGGAGAAATTTGCTATTATCGAAGCTCTAGTAGAATCAACGGGAAGGATTTGTGAAGTTTGAAAAACATTGGGTTGTAATTTTTGTTGATTTGAAAAAGTTCTCGATACACTAGATCATAAAATTCTACATCATAAGCGCAAACTCTATGCAAACAGTGAAATTTGATTACAATGTTTTTTAAATCCCTGGTCGGTCTGATAGGAATCAAATGGTTGAAATTAACAATGTTTCCTCTGATTAGTTACCAATCACAATACGCAAGGTACTCTTTTAGGTCCACTCCTGTTCTTGATAAAATTTAACAATTTGATTATAGTTTCCAAAAAGTCTGAAAATCTTATTGTTGCAGACGATACGAATGGATAGCATGTACTTCAAATGTAAAAGACTACCAATTAGACCTTAAGTTTGAATGCTGACAAAACCACATTAATTAGTTTAGGAACACTGAGACTCCCAATTGACATGTAATCAAAGATGATCATTTACGTTATCCTGAACCGTGCTGAAAATATCTGAGAATAATTTTGAAAAGCAAATTGTCTTTTTCGCATCCAATTGATTTAATCGAATCACAATTAGGGAGGCACTCCGGAGTTTTGTACCCACAGCAATAATGATACGGTATTACAATGCTAAACCAATTAGACAAAACGGATTTTGATAGAAGCTCAAAAGAATTGAATCAGCAGTAAATCCTTTGAACTCAAGAAGATTTTGCGTATGAACTTCAGAAGTTAAGCATGCGCTGGCTTATTAGTCTATATGCTAACGATTCCATAATTTTTTTAAAAGAGTTGAGGTAGCTCATAAACCAAAAAGGTCATCTCTCCCATACATAAAACATAGCCAACTGACAGTAGGAAAAGAGTAATGAACGCAATCAAACTGAAACAAAAACTGACTTGTTTTTTGGGGGCGTTCAACAGTGCCGAAGTACAACAGTGCCGAAAAAAGCGAGAAAATTTCAGAATCATTTACACGCATTTTCTGAAGAGCGGGAAATTACTGACGCTAATTATCAAAGAAAATCACTCCAATTTCGGCGCCAAAATGTCTGCAAATTTTCTCTCCCAAAATCTTCAAGTGCCACTTAAGATTGTAAACGATCGCTGTTTAATTTTTTGATTGCCGCACTTAATATGTTGAAATTTGTTCAAATTTTCGGCACTGTTGAACAAAGTTTTCATTTTCGGCACTATTGAACAAAATTTTCATTTTCGGCACTGTTGTACTTCGGCACTGTTGTACTGCCCCGTTTTTTTTTTCAAAAATCTTCATTTTTTAATTTCGAAAAAAAAAAACAGGTGGCCTTAAAGCTCTTTGAATTTGTAGAAAAATTTATAATGGACGCTTTTCTTGTTAAAATCACCCAATTTGAAAAAACTGGATCAATAGGCAAAACTTTCATTTAACTCGGATATCTGATAATTAATTTCCATTTTCGAAATTACAAGTCGATCACGTTTTTCGTGACCTCTACATTTTTTCTTTTCGATAATGGATTTAACCTTTCTTTTAACAATTGAAATGCACTGAACTTAAAAAGAAAACACAAATGACAGCGCAAAAAATCAAAATTGAGCGTGAACAAATTTTAAGTCTTTTTCGTTTTTAAGTAAGTTTAAGGTTTTAAATTAAGCTTTTAAGCCATAAAAAGACTGCTCGCTCGCTTTATTCCCTTGAAATAAAACGAAAAATCAAAAATTTCAAACCGGTTTTTCTCGACACTGGGAATGTTTTTTAATGTGGTTGGAATCACGTTTGTAAGGGCACTAATATGATATATCATAGCCCAGTCCGATAAAATTTTGTGGTACCTGATTTAGCGTGGAAAACAAAGAAAAAAATAAAACACCCGAATACAAAGTTCCTACCCATTTTTAATGGTCGGAACAATAAATCAGCTTCTTTGAAAAAAAAGAGGCTCTGGCTTCTCTATCTTCTCAGGAAAATTAGTTACTACATGAAAATTATAGTGAAATGAGTTCAAATGAAATCTGCCTTAACGAGCATAAACTTAAGGATACTTATACTTTAAGGAATTTCGGAACTAAGTCAATATATTTTTGCGAACATTCGAACCTATTGTTTCTGAAATTTTTGGACAAATGCTTGAAGTAGGTTTGCAATTTCATGCTACAAAATGGCCTGTAACCTTCTAGTTTACGAGAAAAAGCTGTTTAAAAGAAGTTTTTTGAATTTTCACTTCAACGTAGAAAATAAATGCATCTGTATAAATAACCTGAAAATATTTATTATTTTTCTTCGAACCTTGGATGCAATAAAAACACCGTTTTTTGCTTACCAGCTTTTTCTTATTTTTTTTTATAGTTTTCACTCTAAGATACTCAAAATTTGTGCATATGTTGAAAAGGGTAAACTTTAAGTTGGCATCACCTATGGCTTTGGGTTATACTCTTCATTATCAAATGTATTGATTTAAAAAATTTTGAATTGAGTTTCGTATCAAATTTATATAATTGAGCTATATTGTACGGAGAAATGAAACCTTTATTTCGTTCTTTATTTATGGACATTCAGTCATGGGCTATTATTATAATTATTATATTCACCTTCAACAACAGCAACGCATTGGACTGGGTAGAGTAAAAGCAAGCCAGTGAGAGCACCGAGGTGCATCTGGGCATCCTGCAGTAGAGACTCGAAGAAGGTGGAGATGGCACTCTGGTTGTTCTGCTGGTCGTCGTTCACCCTCGCCAGCAACACCATCCGGAACTGCACGGTCTGAAGAAACGTATGAAAATTAAAACAAAACTGAAGCCACAAGTATAGCATAGAACAGTACAAGTAGATTGATGAATGAAAACAGGCAGCACATTTCAAGTTACACTTCTATGAGGCAAATAAAACAGTTCAACTCATATTTACAACTAGCATTTTTGTTAGAAGGGAGGCTGAATCATGGCCTTTTGGTCTGTACGGCCCAAAATGACCATAATATCATATGAGCTTCTGTTTTTATTGAGAATCCAGATTTTAATTTAATGAAATTATTTTCAACCAATCAAATTCGAGCATTATGATCCAATTTTGAGAACTGCAAAAAGATCAGTTTTGGTCCGTATAATATTAGTAAAGACGCCGTATATAAAAGTCGATGATGCGTAAATGAATTGCCTATTCTTTTCAGCTGTCGAGTTTCCTGGAATAGTTTTTTACCGTAAGCTTTTTCAAAATCAAGAAACTTTCAGGTTTGACGCTTAACCTAACTAATTTCAGAAAACCGGATCAATGTCATTTTTATTTGACTGAGAATTCTCAAATTATACCCAGTTAAAAATTAGCGATATGCTCTCTTTTTGATAATTTTTGCAAACGATCTTGAAAACTCAGGTACTTCTATGACAGAGTGGTCCCTCGAAAGAGCAACTAGACAGGTCCCGCATGCTATAATTTTGAAAACTATTTTGTGTTTAAATTATTCATTTCAAAAATGTCGCAAAATATCTTTCAGAAAAAAATTGTAACTACTATATTGTTTATATCAAGAAATATACTCGCTTCATCTTATTTTACGGTTTAAAAACCATAACTGGGTTAACTTATTTGTCATCGAAACTCAATTTTGGCAGTTTTTTGAAGTTTTCACCTTAAATGTCGGGGGGAGGGGGTTAGGTTTTACGAATTAACGAAACATAAATTTCTTTGAAAAATACTGCGAAGTCTTTATGAATGGCGAAATCATGATTATTAAACAATTTGAGAGCTCCAGGGGTCCTATTCTCAAAGTACTTGGTTCTTTTCAAGGGACCACTCTATCATAGTAGTACTAAAATTCAAACCAACCGAGAAGTACACGATTTGCTATGGCTTTTTCAAATTGCATAAACTATTTCGATGTGGATGCCATATTGCAGACAGAGAATATCCCTGATCCGACTAGCCATAAAAATAGCCACTTATATCCAGCACTGTTAAATAATTAAAGACTATCAAAAAAACAAAACCAACAGACAGCTGTAAAAGAATAATGAACGCAAGGAAACAGAAAAAAAACACAATATATGCCCATAAAGCTCTTTTGAAATTCACGAACAATTTATGGTTCGCACTTTTTGATAAAATTAACCTAATTTGATAAAACTGGATCAATAGATGATAAATTTGTCATTTCTCTGGGATATCCGATAATTAAAATCCAATTTCGAAATAAGAAGTCTATCACGTTTTTTGTGACCTTCACACGTTAACTGCCTTCAATAATGGAAACGAACTGAGCTTGAACAGAAACCAACAGTCAAACCGCGAAAAATCAAAATTGAGCGTACACAAATTTAATGACTCTTCCCGAAAAAAAAACAAGACCTATATAACAGTCTTCACTACGTTCATTACTCTTAATAATTAATCTCTTCAAATAGGTAAATCGGGTGACAATTTAAGCTGTCAAAACTCGCTGCTATGAGCAACAGCCCCAATGACAAACAAACCTGAAGATACTGAAAATAAATCAATAGATAAGGTCTGTCATGTGATTTGAACGATTAAAAGTTTATACATTTTGCAGCGCGGAGTTTTCGCTGCGTCAAAACAATCCAGCAGACATCAACTAGATTTAAACAATCAAATATTCAAAATTTTTTCATCTAGGACGAACGCGCGGTACAAGGACCTTAAGATTCTGACCATAGTTAAAAACTTAGGCCTAGCCCTAAAAATGAATTGAGTTCATCTTGTTTGAAGAATTGACTGTTTGTCAAAAATATCCTTGAATATTCCTGACTTTAAAAATTTTAAAAGTTCTAGAACAATCTTGGTCTTCTCTTAAACGCCAAGCCTGAAGAATTTTTTAAACATTGCATTCGACAAAGCTAAAACATTGCAGTCAATTACACATTGCGTCCATAGCGCTTTCCGACTTTCATTTATATAAAATAACAATAAATTACATCAAGAAAAAATCCGCGCTGTGATACTTAAGCCCGCAAAACATAAGCAAGCAAACAAGCGTCCGACTACTCATTTTCTCTTGAAAAACTTTGATTTCAAACGTCGGCATTCGAGCCTCATACTTAGGGTGCAAAAGCAACCACGTTACCTCTATACCAATAGGAATTGAAGCTCAAAAATGGAGCAAGTTCAGTTTCTTACAGATTGTTTACGGGGAAAAAGTCTAGATCCCAACGACAAGACAATTGCTCTTGTAAAAATGCCAAGTTATTTCACAGAGCAAATCGACTGGCCAGAAGTTTCAGCTTTTCTAAGCAAGCTACTCAAGTTCTGAAACTTTGAAATTTCAGGTCACTTCATAAATCAAATATGTTCGCGAAAAATTAAAGCTTTAGTGGGCAAGCTATAATTTTTTTTTTGATATTTCTTAGACCGAATCGTTTTGCGAAAAAGTTAAGTTCTTCTCAGCAAGCAACTAAAGCTCTGAATCTTTGAAATACTGCAAGTTAATTCAGAGGGCAAATCGGTTTGCGAAAAGTTTGCTACAAAAGGTTTGCGAAACGTGTAGCTTAAAAACTCAAGCTTTTTGAAAAACGATACGGTCTATGATATAACTTGAAATATTTCAAAGTTTCTCTGAGCACGCTAATCACGTGATGAAATTTCAAAAAATGCCAATTTATTTCATAGAGCAAATCGACTGGCAAGAAGTTTCAGTTTTCTAAGCAAGTTATTGAGGCAATGAAATTTTAAATTATCTCAAGTTTTCACACAGCAAATCAATTGGCGAAAAGTTTGTTTTCTAAACAAGCTATGCAAGCGATGAAAATTTGAAATATTTAGAAATTTCATAGCGCAAATCGGTTTGAAAACAGCTAGTTTTTCCCGACAAAATTTCGGGAAAAAATGGACAGTCATTGTCTAGCCCTGAAAACAAATTAAGTTCATCGTGTCTGGAAAATTGATTTTTTTTTCAAAAATAATTCAAAAAATTCCAGACTTAAGAAAATTTGAGAGTTCGAGAACAATCTTGGCCTTCTCTTAAACCTTAAGAATTTTTTAAAGGTTGCATTCGACAGAGCCAAAACATTGCGTTCAATTTTTAGAAATTGCGCCGATAGCACATTTCGACTCTCATTTAAAATATAAAGATGACAATAAATTATATCAAAAAAAACCGCGCTATGATACCTAATCCTAAAAACATAAGCAAGCAAACAAGCGTCCGGCTACTCAATTTTTCCTCGAAACAAATTTTGATTTCAAACATCGGGATTCGAGCCTCAAACCTTAAGGTGCAAAAGCAACCGAGTTACCTCTACACCCAAAAGAATTAAGGTTCAACTTCATTTTGTTATAGATTTGTTTTGGGAAAAATCCAGATCTCAATGACAAGACAATTGCTCTCGCAAGTGTCATTATACAAAACAGGTAAATAGACAATAGATCGAATACAATAGGTAAATACACAAAAAATACTCACTAACCGGTAACAATTATTTTTTCCGAAAAGGTAACGTTTGTTAATTGTAAGCGGCACTTGCAGTTTGATTTACAATAGAACAAGTTTATCTACACGAAGAATTTTTTGAAATAATCCTAAATTGTATAAGTACCTTTCCGGTGTTGATTTTTATTACATCCAAAAGTGATTGTCGTGTCTCTTCGTCGTCCATGCTGTTTTCTTTTATATTCCCGAACTTGACCTCACTTTGCTCACCCATTGTTTTCACGCAATCTTAAAAAACACTAGCGTGTAACGCACCTCCGGTGCTTCGAACAGAATGTGATAACTACTTATATAAAATAAATTTAAAAAAAAAACAACAACGAAAGAAATGAAACCGTAAAAAGAGACGGGCGCATCCAATAACTCTTTTCATTTAAAAACTTGAACAAAAAAAGTCCAAAGGAAATGTTTTTAAACTAAAATGGTGAAATCTCTGAAGCTACTGGGTTTCAGAATGGCTGACAGCATACAAGTAAACTCCCCATATTTAACAATTTCATTGGCAAAAACACTGAATACATGAATGAGACGCTTGCTAAATTTAGTTTTTTATATTCAAAACAGCAAAGACTTGTTTTCTTAGTTTAACAGATAGTTTAATGAAAACTTTTGAAATAACAAACAAAACGTCAATTTCAACCACTTGAACAATTTGAGCAACAAAATTGGGGTGTAGGCCACATCAGCAACTGCTGGTAGTGACCTGAATTCTTCCCAAGAATGCGTCGACTAATTCAAATTGCGAATTTTTTTTACGGAAAATCAGGAAAATGAATCATAATTCATATTTAAGAAAATGACATGTGTTGAGCAGTCATATTCAGAGTCCATATAAGAACTTTCTGAAAGTGCCTCAACAGCACATCATAATTTTGAGAAGTTCAAACTTTGTTGTTTCTTCAAAGATTAAGTTTTTGTAAGCAACGGCATATCTCGCAAACAAAGATTATTTAAGCAGTCAAAACTACAAAAGATAAACTAAACGAGATAATCTGCTAAACTAAAAAGATTTGATTACTCATATTCGATGGCCCAATTTGCAACCCCTAGGGTAACCCTGACAGGTAGAGCGGTCAACATTTAGTCAACCGCGTATTCATACTCGTCAGTAAGCAGACAAATACCATATTAACCAATAAGAATCGAGAGAAAGCAAAATTATAAATAAAAAACTATTAATTCTTCATTTCTTCTTTGTCTCGATTCTGATTGGTTAATACAGCATTTGTCTGCAAACTGACGAGTCTGAATACGCGGTTTGTCTAAATACTGCCGCGTAACCCCCTGACAGAACCCATTTTTGCGTTGCTAATTTCAATCTTGACAAAAAAAACACTAATTTCAAGCCCGAAATATGAAAAAAATTAAACCATTGCAATATACTACATAGCTTAATTTGAGAATTTATTTCAAACAAATGTTTTCGCGCATCTTCAGGTTTTTAAAATCTAAACTATCTGTACAAAATTATCCCAGTCAGTCATATTTGGAAGTTTGACCTTGAGCTGAACGTTGTATCTTGATTTTGGGGAGAAAAGTAATTTAACAAAATTTCGAATTCAGCCTATCATGCTCAAGTTTCTCCCGACAACTGAAAACAGGAGAAAAAAGCAATCATGAGATACGAGTTATAAAAAAAACGCACGTGCAATATAGTTGATGTTTTTGCCTTCTGATTTCTACATTTTTAAAGAGAAAAATCTAATTTTTTTTTCAAGTATATATCTGGGTGAAGGCTTTTTTGCCCCCCATTGAGTAAAACCAAGTCAGCGATCATGTCTGGAGGTTGACCTTGAGAAACACGTAAGTTTGGAGTGAAGTTTTAATTTTGAAAATTTCGAATGGAGCCTGACATGCTCAGTTTTCTCGAACCAACTGAAAACGCAAAATCAAAAATCAGAACGTCCGAATTAACAATTGCGGGAAACTACTCAAGAAAAAGGCAGGAAATTGCTATTCGCAATTTCTCGATACGAAACAATAAGAGAGTAGAGCTGTCTCATCCTGAAAACAGGAGAATAGAATACAGACTTGAGAAAGGACGACTATTCGAACGGAAAGGAGTGAATATTGAATGGAAGAGTGGACAACTCGAGTGTCCCAATGGTTCATTCAGAAACTTTGATTCTTGAGTCAGAACTTACTTCTGTTGTTAAAACTAATTAGCATCAAACTTATTTAGTTATATTATTTGATTCTCAAGCTGCTTCTCTTAGTCACTCCTCATACTCAAGTGCATCGACATGTGAGTTCTCAATTTAAATTTCTCGAGTGTATTTTATGATAGTTATCTTGAGATAAGGCGAGTTTTAGGTTGATCCATCTGAAATGGATCAAAGTTCCACTGTCCAATAAAAAGTAACTAAGCGGATTGTTCCGACCCGGTTTTTAACGGCGTTCATGTATTGTGACATTCGACCAGAATGGCCAAAATGCAGTCTCTGCCGAATTCAGGATTTTAGCAGTGAACCTTCCGGATTGGCGATTTAGAACGGATAAGGACGTTATTTGAATGATTGGCCAAACGGTGAAGGCTAGAAGATTCTGGAATTCTAAATTTTAAATTTTCGAAGTGATGACGTAACATTTCTGAGAAATGTTAAAACGGCCATTTTGGCTAAAATAGCAGAAAGAAACAGAACAACTTTATCTGCGATTACGAACAGTACGAAAATCGAGACTAAAAAAACAACAACGAACTACCGAACAGCAGAGGACGTTCCGAGTTGCAACTATTGTGCTGTTACAATAGTTGCAAGGCCGTTGCGAACAACGGTGAAGGGTAAAAACCAGCCCTCCGAGTTAGCGTGAACCTGAGGTTAAGGAGCTTGATTCGCCGGATTCAAGAATCCGGAAGGGTCTCGGGACGGGAACTTTTATGAACTTGTATTGAATTTTAGCATCCTGTCATGTCCTGACTTGAATTTAACTGATATTTTGATTAGTTTTGACAAGGATGAGGTGCTAGGAGTTGGGGGAAAGGGTTGATCCATCTTCGATGGAGATGATGATTTTTATCTACTGAACAAAAACAATAGTAATATGATAAGTAGTAGCCCTGTTTTTAGGAGTGACCTCGTGGTCTGGGGATACAGAGACCCAGCCATGAGCTCACTAATTTCGCATGTAATTCAGTTAATTTGAGCGTTCTGGTCGAAGCCGGAGAACAGTAACGTTTTTGTCAGCCTGATGTAAGAAAGACCACCGAAAAGTACTGGCTTGGTAGAGACGGTGAAAAACATGCAAAGCTCTGTTTAGACGCTAGCCAGTCGTCTTAAGACTTAGTTTTGTTATCCGTCGATATATATCTTCCGGGCGAATGTTACATGTATGTTTTTATGGCGCTCCTGGGTGTTATTCTTTCATAACATCATGACCGGCGGAACCGTTAACGAGCACTCCGCGCCGAGCGGATGCTCACATTAACGCCCTTAATAGGCCTAAACTGCCGGGGCGGAAGGGTAGTTCGGAACGCGGAAGCCTTCCGGATTACCGTGAATAGTTTTTTAACCTAGTTAAGACCGAAAATTCACGAACCAGGAAGGGTGGGGGGAATCATGAACCCCTCATCCCCTGAGTGGTTTGTGACCAAAAACACCTAAAGATATAAGCAAAACCAAACAAAAAGTAGTATAGTACCCAAGAAAAACAAAAAAAAACATAAAAAATAACCGGAAAAACCAAAAACAGTAAAAAAGTAAAAAATCAGTAGAAATCATCCCCCCAGACAAGATGTGATTCAACCCCCCCGTTTGTTGTTGATAGATATATTGTTGTTACAGGCATTTATATCAGTCAGGATCGTTACGATCAATTTTGAGGCCCGTTTGTGAGGCTTGTACTGTAGGGTTATTTGAGCATTTAAGCACGTTAATGATAAATTGCGCTCAATCCGGAAGGGTCAGCTGATTTGCGCTCAATTCGGAAGGGTCTTGGGTGAAGACCGATCCGGCAAGCAGTTCAAGGAGCAACAAGAAGGGGCTCAACGACAACAACAATCGACTGTTGGGTATCGTTAACAAGTTTTGTATCCCTTTTGGTACAAAAAGTAAGATAGTAATCTGTGGGGGGCTCGACAGTGCTGCACTGTAGTGACCCTTCACCGAACTGCGAATATCCGAGTTAAGCACCTTAATTTGGATAATAAACAAACCCGGAGGGGTATAGTATTACTAATATTATTATTCATATAGCCTATATTAATAGTCACATATCGTTTTTCAGTGAAAAACAACGAAAACAGACCGGTTTTTAGGGTCAAAATAGCGATATTTTGATCCCCCCACAAGTCGCGATTTTTGAGATATCGATATTTTTTGAAACGGAAAAAAGCGCTAAGTTAGTGTGTTACATCGTAACTGCACTACTGTAATAAGTAGAACCGGTTAACTTTAGTTCGGAAGTGGTTGGAACTAGTTTGGTACCAAAAACCAAATTTTCCCAATTTTTGATAGTAAGAAACACTAAAAATTTAGAAAATTTTTTGAAATTTTTGAGGTAGGACAGTAAAAATAGTTGTTCGGACAACGTCCACTAGTGAATCCACAAGTCTTAAAATCCGCTACCCGAAAGCCTTGCGGGTTGCAGAGAAATCGAACATAACGTGTTTGATTTGGTGGATTCATCAATCCGGAGGGGTCCAGGTAGCATAGTTTTTCGCAAAATTTTTCTACAATAGCGTTTTAGATCGGGTCTTTTGCATTGAACTAGAAGAGTATAGGCCTTCTGAGCTCGGATCAATAATTTTTAGGTCGAAAGGACCAGATTTGCGGAAAAAGTTAGGCGGAACCTATAAGAGAGAAAATTTTTTGAGTTCGGAAAAAAGACGTTTTGGTTAATAACTTTGGAACTACTGATCATATCGAGTTGATCTTGGTACCAATAGATCAGAAATTAGCTGAGCTTACTAATAGGATCAGAAATTTTTCGGAAAAGGGAGCGAGAAAATTTTTTGAGATTGTTTTTAGCAAATTACACAAATCCGGAGGGGTACACCCTTCACGTTTTATAAATTTTTCTGAAAAACCCTTATACCTCTACCAAAAGTTGATAGCGATTGAACTAAGTAACTTAGGACAGTTCTAGACAAAAAGGGAAGGCTGAAGGCACAAGACAACCATAATAGAGTCGAAGTTAGGCAAGTGATAAGACCCTTCACCGTTAGTGTGAATTGTCAAATAAGTGCCTTAACTTCAACCCGGAGGGGTCTAGGAAAGGACCCTATACCCTTCCCA